GCATTTCCGCATGATCCCAGAAATGGGCATGCCTGGGGGACCTCCAATGCTAATGAGGGGCCCCCCACCACCATATCACAGTAAACCTGTTGATCAACAGTGGGGGCCAGGGCCAATGGTAGGGGGCGGAATGGGAGGGAATTCACGAATAATGGACATGCATCAGGAAGGTCCTCGAGGGCCAAGGTTTCTTGGACAGATGCGAGGTCCTTCAGGTGGGGGTGTTTACACAGAAAGCCCTGGAGGAGTACTAGGTATCGAGGGGTTGGGGCCTCAGAGACCTCCAAGGCCAGGCATGGGTTGGTTAGAGGAAATGCCTCCAAACATGGGTGGTGGAGGCCCATTTCATGGGTGCTATCCTCCAGGGGGTCCTGGGGGACCTCCTCAGCACTTTCAAGGTGATTTGGATCGCCCTATGACACGGGAAGAGATGTTCCGCAGACTCCATAGATTAGACATGCAGCAAATATCCAGACAGCAGCAGCAGCAGCAGGCAGGGCTTGGAGGCCCTAGGATGATAGATAACTCTGGGGGACCAGGCTTTCCCAATCCTGGAATGGGAGGAGGCCCACCCTCCCGTGGCGATCCAATGGACTTTCCTGGTTCTCGGACTATAATGGGCTCACCTATTGGTGGAGTAGGCAGTGATGGTGGCCCCACAATGAGAGACATAGTTGACTCTCCTTTAGGGGGTAACCTCAATATAAATATGGGCATGAATATGAATCCACAGCAGCAGCAGTTGTTGGCTCAGAAGCTGAGGGGAGGTCCTGGAATTGGCGGACAGCTTGGAGAGATGTTGAACCCTGAAGACATTTCCCGCATTAGGGCTTCACAGAATGGCCGGGGTAGTTCTAACAAAGGAATGATCTCTGGGCAAGATGGACCTCTTCAATACCCCAATCAGAGCTCCTTTCCTGGTAGTCAAGGTGATGGCTTATACATGCAGCAGCCATGCTCTGATATGTTTGGACCAGACCAGCCAGGTCCTCCCCACATGAGCAGCACCTCAAGACTTAGTCACATTCCCATAAACTCTGGCTCAAGGGGTACAGACCTTGGTGCCCGACACCCTCCTGACCTGCCGATTAGTGTTAACCCAATGGGTTCCCCAGCTATACCGCCATCTCACCAGCTTAAATCGCCTTCTCTTAGCCAGGAGCCATCACCCCTCATGCCTTCACCCTCTGCAGCAGGCCTGAAATCACCCAGCCAGTTACCACAGAGTGGTCAATCTCACCCTCCTCTACCAGCAGCCTCTGGGGCTGGAACACCCTCTTCCACCTCTATCAAGTCCCCCCAGGTAATAGGCCCTTCTCTTGGTCTTCGCTCACCATCTGGCTCCCCTGGACACCTTAAATCTCCAACCATGCCTGTTGCTTCACCTGGCTGGACTGCCTCACCCAAGACTGCTATGCCTAGCCCTGGAGGGCCTCCTAGTGTCAAGGTCACAGGCAATGGAGGGAGCAGCTCCACTGATACAGGTAAAAAAATGTTCTTAGAATTATGAATCAAAATGATAAAAAAAAATGTGTGCACATCAAAAACCAAAACCAAATTGTGCTCAGGTGCAGGACAACAAAACAGCAACGAATTAACAAAGAAAATAGATTTCCACACACTGAAATTGCAGCTCCAAAGAGTGTATTTACCAAACAGTGCACATTTTCAACCAGCCAGATCTTCATCAGGCACAATACCATTGTGGAGTGAGACTCAATTCTTTATAAGCACAGGCGATAACAAAGATTGGAAACACACACAGAGTCATGTGACAATTGATGAGACACATACATGTGACAAAGAAATAACACCTAGAAATAAAAAAATACAAACTTTAAATTCTTGAAAAGTTGCACTGTTTGGTAAAACTCTTTGGAGCTGCAATTTCAGTGTGCGGACATCTATTTTCTTTGTTCATTCATAGAAATATGAAAGCAAATTTGTTGTATATTTATGCTTTTTTACATGTCTTCCTCCATTTGTTTGTTTACATTAGGTATGTCCCTGCCACCTAGGAGTTCCAACTCAACCCCCATCAGTCAGCCTACCAACTCTATCAATCCTAGCATGCCTTTCACATCCTCACCAGATGCCCCTCCCTCCCAGAATCCTCTATCCCTTATAATGTCTCAAATGTCAAAGTATGCCATGCCTAGCTCCACTCCACTCTACCATGACGCCATCAAAACAATCGCTACATCAGATGATGAGATGCTACCCGATAGACCCCTCCTACCTGGAATCAACATGTCAGGTACAGATATTACATTTGATCACCTGTTTTAGAATCCAGAACTCAATGCATAATGGAAATTATACTATAATAAACGTTTGATGCCCAGTTATATTATTTTACCTTTTCAATTGCTTTCTTTCTTTATTAGATAAGTTATTCATTAAAATCATTACATGTTATCTCTTTTTCAGTAGGCAACATGGGAAATCACCAGTCTACACAGATGCTCCTCTCCTCGCAGGGTTCAATGGGACCTCACAGTGGTCCGCAAAGTCCTATGGGAATGGTTCTCCAAGGAGGCCCGCAGCTATCCCATGATCCCACAGGACCTATGCTCCCATCCCCTAACCCTATGGGAATACCAGGAATGACCTCAGCAATAATGGGAGGTGGACCTCCAGATGGAATAGGGCCCTGTAATGTTTCCCCAATGCACCCCCAAAACCAGATGGGAGGATTCCCTCGTATGCAGGGACCCCTTCACTCCCCTATTGGGGGTATGGGGCAGCAGTACCCCCAGCGTCCTGATGAGGTCTTACCACCCCAACAGATGCATCTTCTAAGTAAAGGCATGCCTCACCAGCGGCCTCCTCACCAACCAGACACTTTTACATCAATGTCCATGGGGGATGGTCCAGACCTAAGTGAGGTCATCAGGCCCTCGCATACAGGCATTCCTGAGTTTGACCTTTCCCGTATCATTCCTGCGGACAAGCCCAGCAGCACCCTACAGTACTTCCCCAAGAGTGAAGCCATGTCCCATCCGCAGCAAAATCCTCACCAGGGCCAACCGCCTCCACAGGCTTCTTCTGCTCAACTGCTCAAACAGCTCTCCTCATCTGGACCTCCCCATAGCAACATCCCCTCCTCCAACCCCCATATTGCTAACCTACAGAATATGATGGCTGAGCAACAGTTGCCCCTACACCCTTCACACTCACATTGTGGGATGCGCCCAGGTATGGGCATGCCTCAGATTGGCTCCAGGGGCATGGGATCAGGAGGTGGGATGGGGCCCATATGCCACCCAGGGCACATGATGGGCAGGACAGGCATGTCTCCACAACAGCAGCTTCAGCAACAACACCACCATCAGCAACAGCAGGCCATGATGGCCAATAACCTCTTACAACACCCGTCCCACCCTCCCCGTGGCATGCTGTCTCCACAGCAGCACCCTCATAATCTTATGGCCCAGCAGAATCTGATGATGATGCAGGCTAAGCAACGGGGCATGGCTCTCCCTGGGGAGCACTTTGGCCAGCAGGGTGCCCTCATGTCCCCTCAAGGACCTATGATGGGACCTCCACATTCACAGTCTGGCATGATGGGCCCCCAGAGTCTTAGACAACGGAGCATGTCACTGGACAGCCCATTGGGCTACGTGCCTGGAAGTATGGCCAACATGCCCTTTTAGACTAGCTTATCTGTAATACTGTAAAAACCTTGTTTCTTAATGGCTATTTCTCATTTGGACGTGTTTTTATTGCCACTGACTAACTGTGGCAATGGAATGCTAAAAACTTTGGTTTAAGTAACAATCTCTTGATGCTGAAGATAACATTGGGAGAAAATTAAACTGTTAAGGGTTATCATTACAGTTAAGTAAAATCTGAAGCCATTTTTTAAGATATTTGTAAAATATGTATATTTGAGATCAGTGTGTTTGATTGCAAAGGTTAAAGGAAAAAAGCCTCTGGGTTTCTATGTTCTAATTACATTCTGGCTACCAAACTGTTGTGGAGGGTAATATATAAATATCTCTATATAAATATAATATATATATATATATACAGTATATATATATATAGTTGCTGTAAATAAGATGCAATTTGTGCTTGTTTGCAACTGTTCTGTATACTGTGTTTTATTAGAAATCTAATAACAAATATGAAAAAAAAAATTTGTGCTTGCCTTCTTTGATGTGTATAATGGGACATTTTGACCGGCGATCACATTACAAAAAAATTCAAGACACCATTAGATCACTCTTTTATTTCCAGTTATTTGTTACAAAACAATTGGTCTCATATTTAATAACAATCCATTCAAAACACAATGCAAAGCATTATAGCAGGTTAGGGATGATGTTCTGTTTTGCTTATTAATGAAATTAATTATTTGACTAACAGATTGTCCCCATTTATATGATTTCATACACTCACATATGTGCTTTCAGTCATGTTTCCAGTGATTGGCTCAGTGCTAAGGTAAATCTGTAAACCGCATAGCTGGCAAGGCGAGACACTACAGGCACAAACAGTGTTTTCATGCATCTGTCAATTTTGAGATTTTGGGCTTTTTGGCCTTTCATAAAGTGTTTTTTCTGACTAGTGGAAAGAAAACATCCAAAATACACTTTATCTATTTGCGTCTGTAGATTTCAATTACAGTATATATATTCAAAGGCCGTTTTCTCAAAATGAGTTTTCCCTCCTACATTGAACCAGAAATCTCCACGTCAGTAGCACTTTCACCACACTTTACAGTTTTATTCTTATCTATATCTTATAAGGCTTTTACAGAGGGGTTTGTTCATATACAATTTTCCTGATTTTATACAACATTTTATTCCTAAAAAAAAAGGGTAACAATTTATTTAGTTTTGGCTGTTGACAGTGATAAAAAGAGATATCCAGAATCCCCTCTGTAAAAACCTTTGATCTAATATAGTATATACAAAAATGAAACAAGAGTTTTGAACCTGGTTTTATCCAATGTTCAGATTTTTGTTCTAGAAATGTATGCAAAATAGTGCATATTTAAACATAACATTTCAGAAAACTTGTAATACAAAAAATGTTTGCAATTATGCATGTAATCAAGCAACTTGGGAAGTATGGTGATATCCAATTTTTTTTTTTTTTGGGACCTATTCACCTGGGGTGTCTTGCCAGAAAAAAACAATATGTAGAAAACCGCTCAGCTGCTTTTAAATGTATTGGTTGCTTGTCGTGGAAGTAACGGCCTCTGTGACCGACATCCTGTTAAGACTTTTTCTTTGCAGACCTGACAGGCATACACGCAGACACTGTGTTCTTGCTAGCAACTGCATGAGGTCTCTTCGGAAACGGACCCCTATGAAGGCGTACAGGATTGGATTGAGACAACAATGGAAAAAACCAATGCTCTCTGTCACCATCACCGCCCGTTCCCGTGAGGCTTGACCATAGCAGCCCCGCTCAGGCATAGCCCCCAAAACCACCAGGGTATCCACGAAAATGGTGATGTTATAGGGCAGCCAACACAGGCAGAACACCAATGTAACCAGTAGGGCCAACCGAATTGCTCCCTGTTTCTCCAGACTTTTCTGGCTTTGGCAAAGAGTGATGACTATAGAAGTGTAGCAGTACCCCATGATCACCAGAGGCAGGACGAAGCACAGCAGGTGCGTGAGAAAGCGGCTGGTCAACATCCAGTTGTTTGCATGTAAGCCATGGTTGTGGTAAGAACAAGAGAACCTGGTATGGTTGCCCTCGTCTTCCTCCACGGACAGGAATACCACGTTGGGAATGGTCACAGATAGGCAGATGAGCCAGAGCAGCGCACAGGTGAGGTGAACCGTCCTAGGCCGACGGGCCTGGAGACTGGGGATGGCGTGCACAATGGCGAGGTAGCGATCGAAGCCGATGCATGCCAGAAGCAAACTCCCACACACCAGATTGAGGCGATTAATAAGGCCCAATAGCTTGCACAGAAAGGTTCCAAAAAGCCACCCGGTTACTCCTTGAGTAACTGCGAATGGAAAGGTGAAGAGGAGGAGCAGGTCAGCCAGGGACAGATGTAGCAGATAGATCTCCGTGATGCGCAGGTGCCTCCGGCGTTTCAGCAGAACTGTCAAGAGGAGACCATTTCCAGTTAAGCCCAGGAGAAACACCACACCATAGACAAGGGGAAGGAACACGGCGTGAAACAGATGCAGTGGGTTCTTTTCGTTGCCACAGGTGTACTGGTCGACTCCATCTGGTCCTTCTGTCATATTTTCATAATCCGGATCCAGATCCAGATCCAGATCCAGATCCAGATCCTGAAAATACACATTTCAGTAATTTCAACAATTGATTTGCAAGTTGCAATATTTAAAGATTCCCTCCAAAAAAGATCAATAAATAATTTGAATCATTAAAGCTTTTTGCTAAATCAAAAATGTTCGTTTTAGGTCTTCATTTGATTACCACAGTTTTTCTAAATCAAATCCGGAATTAAAACAGACAACAAAGACTTTCATTTATGCATTTAGCAGATGTTTTAATCCAAAGCGATGGGACCTTATTGTTCATAGGGCCTTATAGGGGGAGTTTACACAACAATGTTTATTATTTAACAATCAAAAACAGTTAGTTGCATAAAGCAAAGCAGTTTTACATCCACCTGTGGCGTTTACAGGAAGCTATTTAAAGGAAGCGTCTCACTTCCTTTTTTTTTCTTTCTCCGTATTTGAAAATAAAATAAATGGAAATAATTATTAATAATACAATTAATAATAATAATTAACAGTAATAGTAGCAAAAAAGTAGTTATGACAAATAAAATGATTCACAGGAAAACATCTAGAAAATATTTATTGTGGAGATGTAAACTGATCATTTTGTATCTAATACCAATAATAATAATAAGAAATTGATTATGTTTTTACTAAAACACTTTTTTTCTAAAAATGTACAAATCAGTTCATAATTATATATGTTTCTAATAGATATAGCTTGCTTTATTTCCACAGGATGTGAATAAAATCAGTGATGACTACTACCATACTGTAATTTTCTAAAAATGCATTGAGAGTTTAGAAATACTCACAGTAATAATGACTTTTTGTGTTATTTGATCCATGTTTGTCCTAATGTGGATGACCATACAATTGTCTCAGAAATGTGTGTCCTCGTCCACTCCGAGTGACAAAACCTCTGATCAACGACCCATGCTTTGCGCTCAGATTGTCAAGACACGCCTCTTTAAACTTTACCTCCTCAAGAACTCACACTTACCTTATTTGAATTCTTTACACACAAAAAAAAAACAATTAAGCCCACACATTTCCTTTACAGAACAACACATTCTCCACTCTCTGGCAATTCAGTCAAATGTATACAGTATAGGCATACACACTACCATATCAATAAATATACTCAAATCTATTTGAAATAGCATTTATTTTATGCTAACTATACATTTACATATTTATGTAGGCCTACTTAATATCCCTGCAATTGTACTTTTGGTATACTAAATTAGTTTACTTAAAGTCTGCTATATTGGAACAATTAAATAGTGCTGAGGTCCAAATACTTAAGTAGGCCTATATTTGATTGTGTTAAAATGGAACTATTGCAAGTATATAGGTACACTTAAAATATCTTGCATTTTTACTAATCGTGATATTAAACACATAAGCTTAATATTAAGAAATGTGCATTGGGAAAGAAAGAAAAACTCCAAATAAAGTTTATATATAATATTTATATCAGTAAGTCTCAAGCAATATGTCAGTAAATATATTAATGGGTTTGTAGTATGAAATAAATTTAGGCCTATTTTAAATAGATTTCGGCATAGGTTTTTTTTTTTGTGCCTCTGACATGTTTTCTCACCGTCACGCATCTAACGCGGAAACTCTTAAGAACATCCAGTTACCAAAACTCATAATTACAAGTTGTGCTGATATTCATGTGCATTTTATCTTTATGCCATGACTTGAAAACACTGCAACTGCCGAAGCTAAACTTGACCCCATTGGCCCCAACGTCCTACCATTGGTTGAACCAGAAGTTAACACGTCAGACTGCTATGCTTGATCTATGTTTCGAACACGCCATAAAGTCAATGCAATCACACTCGCCAACAATCGTTTTTTCTGTACTTTTGCTAAACAACCGAACTCGCTAGACTGTATTGGGAATCTGTGTTGTTTGGCACATTTGTCAGAAGGAAACCTTTAGAAACTCATTGCAGCTAAAGACGCAAGTCTCACCCTGTATTTCAAATCCAAGTAGGATGACATTATTTTTTAGATGATGTTATGCATTTTTTTTTTAAATGAGACTTTTTTGTGTGCAAACCAAAGAAAATGTGAGGTGGAACTGACACATCTAGTTTGTTTCTGCTAACAGGTGCTGTAAAGGCAGAATTTCCAAACACATCTTTTAATGATGCCATTACACTTCAAGTTTACTTGAAATGCCATTGCAATGTGTTTTAAAATCACTAAAAGTTTGTTATCAGTGTAATATTAATGTATGTTCAACACTCTCACAGTGTAATTGAATTGGAATTGGAATGTCACAAAAATACATTTGATTTATGCTGAGTCAATTCTGCATTTTAAAACTTAAATACAAGAGTGTATTTAAAGTGTGAATAGTTCCACTTTAGTACAAACAAGTATATTAAATACAACTTTAGTTGAACTTCAGCACCACGTTTGGACAACTAAAATGCATTTAGTACAAAATGAGTTGTTCCAATTTAACAGACTTTATACCAAATAGATTTATAGTTCTAAAGTACATACAAATAAATTGTGCTATACTATTTTTTCCCCCTAGGGTACTCTTACATTTTGATTATTTTTCTTGTAGCCTATTCTTTTTTAGCACTTGGCTGACCACAACTTTTGCACCTGACTTATTTCTTAGAAATCTAGCTTGGTTACAGAAATCTCCACTTCAACTTTGGTTTTGGAAGGCTGCCTACACAAAAAAAAACATTTGTGGGCAAATATGAATAAAGAAAAGTAAACAAATATAAACCTATATGAATTACTTTACCTAAATACTATTGCAACTGATTTATTTCAATTTCTTATTTGAATTATTTATCATTGTTTTAAATGAAAGAGTTAGAGCAGACAATAAAAGGAAAAGTCACCGCACTTTGGTCACTATATAATTCCCATCATTATTTAATCACTTTAGCATTTACCAAATGTTTAAGGAACAGTGAATATTTTTGGACAGCAGATATTTGTTTTGTGTTTAGAGGATAAATAACTGGATTGTTACATCTGACCCATGAGCTTGGTTGCACAAAAACTACCCAAACACTGAAAAAAAAAATACAAAAAAAATACAAATGACTCAACAGGTCCAACCCTGCATTTACGTTGACAAAAATAACAAAGGTCACACAATTCAAATTATAAATATTAATGATACATATATAGATCAAAAAAACTTTGTGCAGTCTCAAAATGTTCTATATTTATAACATCTGACATAGATTGCAACCCAGTGTGCTGCTATAGGCAAGAGTCAGTTTCACTATTACTCATATTTTGATGTTCCTTTACATGTTACAGTTTTACATTTGACCACAAGCAACCACCTAACACTCCTTGCGGCGAGTTTTGCATAGATAATTAGCCTACTGCTCCCCTTTTTTCTGGGTTTTAAAAATGTTTTTAAAATGATTGCTACACTCGTGGACCCATTCGGAGTGGGAAGCTTGCTGGAATGGATCTCTTCAAGGGCTTATTGATAACATGCATTGATATTGCGCCTGATTTCACTCTTGTAACCAACATAGCATTCCATTTTCCAAACAACTTATCATGTGTAGGGTATCAGGGAAGCATAAGCCTTAATTCAATTAGGACGGTTTAATTGGTCAGGAGAAAGTCATTCAGCTATATGGCAATTAATTAACGCTGTCTGAATCCCACAGGTGTCCCTATCAACAGATTTCTAACATGTGCATACCAAACATCTTCAACACTTATGAAATAAGTAGTTATAATGAAAACGTATGATTTTAGGGATTCAAATAAATGTCAATCTTCTTTAAATCACATTACATTACCAATTAGTCAAGCACAAACATGTTTACCTGATTAAATGACTCCCATTCACATGTCAGGTTTCTGCCAAGAGAGACAAAAACAAGCTCAGGTAAGAATTAAACAGCACTGCCACATAATTATGATATATATATATTTTTTAAGGGAAAGGTATAATTGTGACTATTTACGCCAACAAAAATTGCAAATAAATAAATAATAATAAATATAATAAACTGCAATGCAAAGTGTTTTGTATTGATAAAAAAATATAAAATATTTGACATGCATTTAAAACAAAGTCCGCAGTAAAGAATGCATTTAATAAATAAATAATTCTAATATGCGCGGTGTTTTTGTGGATTAGACAGGGCTCTCATGTGACTGATTATGGGAGGGTTTAAAGATGACTGGAAGCCATCTTACACACTCGCTTTACACCCCTAAATATATGTCAGAGCTCTACACCTATAATTCACAAACACGCAGAAAGATATACTCAGCCACGTTTGGTAAGTTTCCAGAAAGTCAAATGTATGTGGTACATAGGTAGATTTTTATTCCGTTTTGGGGGTTTCTTTTTAGCTGCGTGTTTACATATTTGTCTGTGGTGTCATGAATATTTTCTTGTCTCAGTCAAGCCATTCAGCTAATTGCTTTAGTAAGCTGTAAATGTTTTCTAACCGATGTCTTATACAAATGGGTGTTTAGTGATTTAGACCGTTAATTGTAATTTGTGAATCAGTGGGTTAATTCGCGTTGGGCCTGTGTTTGGACGCAAAAGCTAATGAACTCTAGCACAGTGTTAATATTTTTTCTTTCACACAGTTCAAATATTCAATTTAACTTCTAACTGAAGCAGCATATCAACATTGTGTTATTAATAGCTGTGTCCCCTAACTGTTTAAACGTTATCCGACTGTTAACTGAAATGAAGCCGCAAGGGGTAGCTGCTAGCCGCTTGCTAGCTAAACATTAGCATTAACTGCGTGACAGCGAATTGCACGTTGTGTTGAAGCCAGACGGTTAAAATTTAAGAGTGTTTTCTAAATAACGACAGAGTAACATTGGTTACATTGAGATACATTGTTTAGCGTGTTCCGTTTGTGAGTTTCGTGACTAGGAGGGACTTTCATTCAACTTCAGCTAACTAGCATTTACATTGTTTCTAATTTTAACCAGATTACACTGATATTTTGTCAAAGTGCTAACGTTACTGCAACCGTTTAACAAACCCACAACGTCAGCGAAATCACCATATTAATGTCTATGTATTCTGGATATTATTTTAGTAGCGGCTGTTTTAATGAGGCCTATCATGTTGACTTTGTGCCAGGTTCAGCTGCCATCATTATTGAGGTCAGATTTGACATCTAAGGTTTACGTTCCTTGTTCGTGTGTTCAAACCATGCATGTTTTTCTCCTTATCAAGTCGATTCCAGTTTGATTACACATTATCTTTGATTTGACAGACTTTTTCTGTGCCACTTCTACCAGAGCTTTTTTCTCTGTATATAATTCCTTCTACAGTGAGTTAACTCTTTTGCTGCTGTAACATTACAATTTAGTGTACATGTGCTGCATTAATACCACATATGCTGAATTACTACTCCAAATGATCTGTATTAATGGTAGGCAGATTGATCCGCACATGTTTTGCCATTTTGAGATGGCAACAGGAGTGAAACTTCACTTGTTAGTTTAAAATTTAGTAACCGTTTTATCAAAGAATTGTGCACATTTGTGAATTAATTAAATATCTTAATGGCTGAATTTAGGGCTGCAACTGATTATTTTGATAATCGATTACTCTCTCGATTATTTTTGGGATATAAATAAATAATGTTATACATTAAAATATTTCTATTAAAAATAAATTATTTTAAACAATATTCCACATCCTACCCAATGCTGTCCTCCAAACATTGTGTAAAATAAAGCTTATGAAAACCAATATAGTGAATGTATCCATGTAGGCTTTGCTGTACATTATAAGCAAAAAAAAAAGTGTTAAAATGCATTCTAAAGCTAAAAACAACATATTGCTTACTATTTTGAAGCAGAAATGAAAACGACTGAATTAAAATGATAATTTTAATTAATTTGTACAAGGTATGAAAACACACATTTACTTTTCTGAACATAGTAATTGTATTACATTAATGGGCTATTCCAACAATAGTGCCTTTAATGTTACGGCTCTCATGAATATTGCTTGTGTTAGGCGTTTTTTAACTTGCACTTAATTTCTAACTTAAGCTCGTTCATTGAAGACTGTGAAGTTTAACAAGACCCTTGTTGTAAGGATATGCAAAATGGAAATACTCGCGGGACTTTCAAACATTTACAGACAAGGATATAACCATGAAATGTAAGTTATGCCCTGTCATTTGCCAGAAACATTAAACATCACACGCATATGTCAAAGCACGGCAGGGCAAGACGCTGTAAATGCTTATGCTTGTGTTTGAAGCACTTACAAATAAAAAGCATTCTCATGTTTCGGACAACTTAGTGTAATGCTGCGGGAAAGGTACATGATCTGTGTCCTCTGCTGTTTTCATTATGCTTTTTGTACAAAGAAATTTGTTATTCACTACTGTAAAGTGACGTGACTGGCTGATGCAGATGTAACTTATTGATAATCTAGTTCTTTGTCGATTTATTTTAATCGATTAGGCCTAGTTGTTAAATCCCTAGTTGAATTAAAATAAATCGTGTCTAATTAATTGAATTCATAAAAATGTATCCTAATTACAATTTTACACTACTTGGGGAACGTTTACACAAGTATTAAAAGTAACGGTTTTAGGGCTGGGATAAACGATTATTTTTTAAACGATTAATCTAGCGATTATTTTTTCGATGCATCGATTAATCTAACGATTAATTTTCCCAGTCCGATTCGATTTCGTATCGATTATCTCCCCATTAATTGACTAATAGCACTATATGTGTTGATTTACATATCTGAATAAAAAAAAAAACATGAATTCCTTAACATTGCAATATATGTTTATTGCTCTTAAAATTCCAAAATAAAAGACTAGCCTATATAAAAGTGCAAAGTAATGCATTCTTATTTTCGTAACATTCTCATTTTCCACTAGATATGTTCCTCTATATGCCGTGCCGCCTTGCACTTCTGAAAGTCTGAGGAGCCACTCGTGTTGCTATACTACTCTCCGGCGCCGCCGTCTTTGTTTTGGGTCTGACGAATCGACGCGAATATTTTGCGTGGACGTCATCGATGACGTCGACGCGTTGTCCCAGCCCTAAACAGTTTGCATTTTCATGTACAGATGACCGACGACATTGTCAAAATGGTCCTGTTCACACGGATCCACGAAAAAACTGACTAAAAGCGCTGTATTATACATGCCTGGCCAGTAGGGCGACGTCACTTTGTAGAGAAATGCTACGCTCCTGTGCACATGTGTATTCTTCTACAGAGTGGTGAATACAAACATTCATGATGGTGAAAGTAGGGCTGGACGATAAAACAGTATTATTATTTATCGACGGTACACCATTGTCGGTAACGATATAAAAAATGTTCGATATAACGCTCAATATTTTCATTCATCGCTGGCGCGACCACCACAACGTTGCCCAACATCAAATGGCAAACGTAATGAAAGCGGAACGAAACTGCGCTACTGTGCTAGCCCACAAAAAATAAGTTGAGAAAATTGTGTAAGGTCCCATCGCTTTGGATAAAAGCATCTGCTAAATGCATAAATGAAAATCTTTGTTGTCTGTTTTAATTCTGGATTTGATTTTGAAATTTATCAATCACTGGTAATCAAATGAAGGTCTAAAACGAACATATTTAAATCTTTTAAAATGTAATCAAAAGATTACATCAAATAGTTGAAGTGCTACTGTATATTGTGTAAAGTGAGCTCTTAAAATAATCAATTTTTTTTTTTTTTTTTGCATATATTGGCATAATGTCAGCAACCCAGGGGTCCCTTGCGTCATGAGTGGCGATATGTTATTTTCTATCAAAATATAGATATTTTTTTTTTCTAAATGTGGGAAAAGAAAGATCTGTTAAGGTAACGTTTTTGAAAAGTTATGCTAATGAGAATCTATTTGAACCATTATAAAGGTTGGAAAACCCCTGTCCTACATAATTTGTATCGGCGTTGACTAAAATCTTGATTGGTGGTTTTGTTTGACACTTCATATTATGTGCTTTAAGATGCTCTTTCTCTCTCACACAGGTGGAAAACATTTAAAATAGTTGAAATTGGAGAGAAAGGAATGGACAGAATCATCAAAAAGACTAACACTGGCTTCCTAGCCCCTGCTCTGTGAAACTTTCCTTTTGCAGAGGAAAGATTCACTCATTCATGGAAGGATAATTGAAGCTAATCCTCCCCGCTTATAATATCTGTGACCTGTTGCTTGAGTGACATTCATATTGAGATGTTCCACAAGAGACTTGCATATTGAGGAACAAGGAACTGGTGAAAAATATTGCTTTAACTTTCTTTTTTTTTTTTTTCGTGCTCTTTGGACACTGCGAAAGCTGTGGGAAGGACAACTTGTGAATTGTTTTGCAAGCCCATCCAGATAAACTTATCTCCACTGTTTTTGTCACATTTGGAGGATAGAAAATTTAAGACATGAGTACAGCCAGAATGGAAAATCCAGTGATTCTGGGACTGTCGAATCAGAATGGCCAAATGCGAGGCTCTGTGAAGCCAGCAGGGGGTCCTGGAGGAGGTGGAGGGGGGTCCCAAACAATGCAACCTACCCAGGTCAAAGCCTCCAGCACAGTCAACAATGGCAACTCCCAGCCTGTACCCACAGCCAACACTATCATCAAGTAAGTCCTTGAGGGAGTGCAGATTATGCAGTGAGTGCTGCTTTATTATGGTGGTGATTGGGAATTTCTTTTCCCCCTTATCAGGCCTGGGGATGACTGGAAGAAGAATCTAAAGCTTCCTCCAAAGGATATGCGCATGAGAACTTCAGTAAGTCCATCTTTAACAGGTTTACTTGTCTGCCTGATATACCTCGTTTCCACCAAAAAAAGAACTGGTTCCGAACTGATGCTGGTTCAAAGTTGGTTCAACTTGCGAACCTTCTCAGAACCTGTTTGTTTTTCCACTGACTAGAGAGCCCAGCGAACGACGTCATTACGTCACTGTGTATGTCGCCATACGTCTCAGCTTTCCCATTCCCGTCGTGTTGTTGTTCACAGTAACCCACCCCCAGCCCCCGACGTAAGCATGACGTGGTAAAAGAACGGTTCTAGTCCAGCAAAGAGTTGGTACCACTTTGGAACCAATTTTCCTGGCCGAGAACCGGTTCTTTGGCTGTCGAAACACAAAGAACTGGTTCGCGAGTAGGCACCGGCTCCGAACCGGCTCTCAAAATGCTTTGGTGGAAAAGGGGCATTAGAGCTGCACGATTAATTGTTAAAAGATCGTAATCTCGATTCAAACACTCACGCAATATTTTGATCACTACTGTACATTTAGTAATAAGAGAGTAAATCACCTTTTTAAACTTGATGCTTTAATTAAAGATTGTATCAATTACGTCATTACACCAGTAGGTAGCAAGAAGTGACTGTTAAAGAGCATATTGCAGGTAAAAAAAAAACCTAAATTAATATATAACCTTGTATTAAAATACCTCATATGAAAAGTTAATGCAGGATTTAAAATGTTTTAAAACGACATAAGGGCACTAATTTAGTAGATAAAGTGAGCGTTTCTTGGACTGCTCGTAAAAACTTTTTTTTTTTTCAAAATCGCGTCATTTTACGTCACGCCAGGGAGCGTCAGCCTCGGCTCAGTGCAAAGTAGGCTGGTGTTCAGTGAGAGCGGCCGTGAGTCAGTGTGTTTTCGGTAGTTTGTCGTATTTTAATTTATCATCGTCATGGTAAATTATTGTTTGTGGATGTTGCAAAAACTCCGGCCTGTCAGGACATCGAGTCCACAGGTTTCCATAACAAGAAAAGGGACGGTGTTGTATATCTTTCGTGCCTGGTGCGGTTTGTGCAGGTGAAGAGACGGGATTTCTCTTCCGCATTGGAAACGCGGTCGTGTGTAGCGTTCACTTCAGATCGGAGGATTATCATCCCGGCGATATGATGGAGTTCAACATGGGATGCCGAAGCAAAAATATTGATCGTCTAATACTGTACCAATGGCATGAAATAGTGTGATATAGGTAACTTAGTCATGCCCTAAATAGAGGCAACTTGTAATTGAAAAACAAAATTACTCAGGTTGTTTAAATATTCAAATCTTTAATTTCTGTTTATGTTATAACCCAGGTGAAAAATATGTATTAAAAATGTACTTGGGTATGTTTTTAGTACAATAGAAATATACTCAAGTATGTTTTTTTATACATTTAATAGTATAAATCTACCCTAAAAATACTAATGTCTGCTGGCCTGATATACGATGGTCATAATCTGTTCAAAATTGTGAGCACAGTGTATATCGTTAGCGAACGTGTATCTATAAGCACGTCTCTCACCAAGACACCTGTCCTGGGCTGTTCTCCACTGGTTCTCACACCACAACTCATGGTGTCTCTGACCGTTCTGTCTGACATTTAGTCCTGGCCTGTCCCCGCTCTCTTGGCAGCATAGCAGGCTCATAACTGTAGGGCTGTGGTCCGTCATACGAGTAAGTACTTCCTCAGCGTCCGAAATGTCATTGCGATCCATTGTTTTCCTGTTGTTTGAATCGACCGCTCTCCCGCCCGTTACGTCACGCCCGCCACGCCCATTTTCAGACGCGGAAGTAAAATTGTCTCTCAAAAACGACTCCAGAAGCTTCTGTAGCGTATTTATAAGTATATTTTAAAGAATCTAGTTCCTACATTATTTTTCTATACATTGACTCGTTGGGTCCTCTAACCTGCAATATGCCCATTAAATGTAAAAAAGAATCGTTCAAAAACGCTGATTAATCCAGTAATGAAACAAGTGATGTCTTTATTAACGAGTCATCGAATCATTTCTTTTTTTTTACAGATTTTTTTTTTTGTAGGGATGTCACAATTCCTTGATTAAATTCAAGTCCTCTTTTTATTTTATTTTTTATATTTATGAGGCTTTTTTTTTTTAGGGATGCACCGAAATGAGAATTCTTGGCCGAAACTGAATATGATAAAACACCTTTTTCGCATTTTATCCCTTTTTTTGCCAATTTTTTCTCCAAAATTGCAATGTAAAAATATTTAACACTGGACATTTTTTTAACATTCCAGCAGACAAATAACAACAATATTACTTAAAATAAATTAGTAAAATAAAATTATTTTTATTTGGCCATCTTTTGCCAGCAGAACTGTGTCTGCAAACGGTAATTTCTCGGACACTTTAAAATGCTTCCACACTCCCGATATGTTTGCTGCGTTTATAAAGTGTGTGCGCCTCTCACACACGCTGGTTGCTCTTTGATCGCGTCATCAAAAATGTAAGTGTTCGGTAAAATGTATTCGTTTATTTTTTATTTAACACCGAATTTCCTTTTTTTACTATTTGCGGTCGAATAATTTAGGTTGCTGAACATTTGGTGCATCCCTAATTTTTTTTATAATACATAACGACATGTTGATTTTATATTATATCTTATGTATTTTAAGTGTTCTATAAAACCATATGATGACTTGCTTTTGATACTTTATTTTGATACCAAATATTATTCCCTCATTGTTATTAAATATGTATTTTTAAGCATTTTAAAGGCCATTGTTTGCCTGGATCTGTTTTTATTACTACCACAAAAAAAAAAATAATCGTCAAAAAAATCGACCGATTACTTTTGATTACCAAAACAATCGTTAGTGACAGCCTTACTGTTTTGTGTAGTTGTCGCATTAGGATTGTGGGACAATCGTGATCGCTTTAATACAAAAAAAAGTGATTCTCATTTTATCCGTAATCATGCAGCTCTAATGTCTGTTAAAGGGGTCATCGGATGCCCATTTTCCACAAGTTGTGATTCTTTAGTTTAGTGTCTTCATGTAAAGTTTGTAATATACTTTGGTTAAAATTCATCAGTGGTTGTGTAAAACACCCTATTTACCTCCTCAAAAACAGCTCTGTTCACAGTGACCTGTTTCGGTGCATGTCTCTTTAATTGATAATGATCAACTGCTCACCCCGCCCCTCTCCTCCATGGGGGGTGTCGAATGGCTGAGGGCAGAAATATGCCAATACGGGACAGTCCGTCAGTGGTCGTGGGCGGAGCATGAGCATTATGACATCATAGTGCTCAGAAAATCCAAACGGCCTGATTGAGTGTTTAGACTTTGAGGATTAAAAAAGGAGTGAATGTATTTTTTTTTATTGTATGGTGGTTGTCCACAATGCCAAGACACATTTATATGAGAACACCATATACAAGTGAATTTTGCATCCGATGACCCCTTTAAGTAAAGGTAGCCTCTGAACCAGAGTCTTTCTCTGTGCTTGTTGTGGTCTGTAAAACTCTGTAAAGTGCAATCATTATCAAAAATTTACAGGATGTGACGGCGACCAAGGGAAATGAGTTTGAGGATTACTGCCTGAAACGGGAGTTGCTTATGGGCATCTTTGAAATGGGCTGGGAGAAACCATCACCTATACAGGTAAGAGGCAAAAAAGACACATGATGGCAAATATTTCAGATGTGTATCACTCCTAGCTAAAGGGATCTGATAATGGTAATTTATTCCTGTGATCAAAGCTGAATTTTCAGCATCATTACTCCAATCTTCAGTGTCACAATATCCTTCAGAAATCATTCTAATATGATCATTTGATGCTCAAAAAACATTTATGATTATTATCAATGTTGAGAACAGTTTTTTTACATTTTTATTTCAGGATTCTTTGATGAATAGAACGTTCAAAAGAACAGCATTTATCTGAAATAGAAAGCTTTTCTAACATTAAACACTACCCTTCAAAAGTTTGGGGTCAGTAATAATTTTTATTTTATTTTTGGGGGAAAGAAATGAGAAATTTAGGTGCATCAAAATATTATTATTATTAATATTACTTTAAGAAGTTCATTCTTCTCTGCAATAGGAATATATTTGTCACAGTTTCCTCAAGTTAAACCAAATTTTTATTTTGATGGGTGTCATATAGACCATTGAGTTTGTGTGTATTTGATATGAGCATTTCACCATTTCTTTTGATAAAACCATCAAGTGCACTTCTGGAGATGAAGTTCATGTCCTCATAGACCGTGAGACTGCAGATGCTGACAACACCAGAGTGTCATGCATGCTTGAGAATTAGTAGACGAAACCGCAGCTCTCATTCAACACAGACATATGCAGAATTCGCATTTAAATTGCAGTCTTATTAGTTGTGCCAATCGAAGTTTATGACTTATTTAGAAGGTTGTATTTGAACTCTTACTATAAGTGAATGATAATCATGTCTCTTACAGAAACTGGATTCAGACTGTTTATGCTTTTTAACCTTTTTGTCTGTTAGTGACCATACAGTTTCCATCTAGTGTAAGGCAAGAGAAGTCTGCATTTAATCTGACCTAGGCATGTGACAGTATCAAATTTTCATGTTGCGAACTTGCGATAATTGCTGAAGCTTATCACGGTAAACGGTATTATCACTAGGGTTGGGTATCGGTTGGGTTTTATCCGATTCCAGTACCTACTCGGTATTTTTTTAAACAGTTCCGGTGCTTAAACGGTTCTTAAATCGGTACTTAAGAAAATGAAACCGTACACACTTTATCAAAAAATAATACCCTTTAATTTACAGGGCCAAACTGGACACAATATTAACTTAAATCTTTAAACAATATAAATACAAGTAACATATGGTAATAATAAAACCAATATAAAATAAAAATTCATATTTACATAATATCAAATGAAACAATATTGTATCAAACAATGTAATAATACTGGAGATTAATAGAGATTACTAGCAGGCAGAGCTGCCAACTCTCACGCATTGACCGTGAGACTCACGCAATTGACCCTTTCACACAGAAAAATCGCGGACAAAGAGGACGCTGACACCGACAGACAAGACAGAGAAGGTTACTTTTGATATGGAACAAATCCACAGCTGTCAGATTCTGTCAATATTTTTACGAGATTCACACAATAAATAACGTTTTGGCTCTTTGAAATGTGACAGATCGCTGTAGCGCGTCAGTAGGCTACAGCAGCCTACAAATACAAATCCACTGCTTCTTAGCTACGCAGCGTTGAGTGAACCTATGAAAGAGAACATCTCTGGTTACTGTAACCTATGTTCTCTCAATAGGGAACGAGACGCTGCCAAGCTCCTCGCGCTGCCGACCAGCTTCCTTTTTCGGCAGAGAAATCTGAGGAGCAGATCGCGCGCGCCAACATAATATGACGACATAAGTGCGTCGAGGCGGCGCCCGCGCCATTAGCCAATGAATTGGCTTGATTCTATATGGGATTCAGACTATCGGCACACCCAGAGGGCGTTCTGACGCGTAATTTTACACGTGAAATGCAGCCAAACCTTGCGAGAGAGCGCGCATGCGAGACAGAAGAGACTGTGCTCCAAACTGTGTAGCACACGCACGGCGGAGAGGGAGAGAGCGAGAGACCTTGCGTGTGTGTGTGTGCCTAATGAAGTTAGGCACCGAAATCAGGCACCGAAATTTTCGTTCTTATTCGGTCTGGTTACTACCGTTTACGTCAGAACCGGTTCCCTATTGGCACCGAGTTTCGGTACCCAACCCTAATTATCACGATATTGAAATAAGTTGCAAAAAAAAGTGTTGTCATACTATAACAGGTTTAATAACTTTTTGTCTTATAACAAAAAGAACTCTGAACATCTAAATACAATAAAGCAATACACATAAATTAAACAAATGTTTAAAAATTATAAAGTAAAATAGGTAACCCTTTACAATAAGGTCTCGTTAATGCATTAACTAACTAGCATGTAACAAATGTAACTTGCACATTGTTAGTTATTATTCTTTGTTAACATTAGTTTAAAAAAACAACAACAACACCATTGATCATTGTTAGCTTAGATCCATTAAACCAGTTACAACTTTTGATTTGAATAATTCATTATATCGTATTACGTATACCGGCACATGTCTACTGCTCATTACCTTGTTCTCGCCCATTCCCGCAGGAGGAGAGCATTCCCATTGCGTTGTCTGGGAGGGACATTCTAGCCAGAGCCAAGAACGGCACAGGAAAAAGTGGCGCCTACCTCATTCCCTTACTTGAACGCATTGACCTGAAGAAAGATAGCATACAAGGTCAGTGACTATCTTGGATTTGACACATTTACAAGTTGTTAGGGATCATTGTTTCACCATTATAGGTTTTATACACGATTTCTCTATTGTTTTTAAGTGACTTCATGCTTTAAATGCTTTTTGCAGCATTGGTCATTGTGCCCACTAGAGAACTGGCTCTACAAGTCAGCCAGATCTGCATCCAGGTCAGCAAACACATGGGCGGGGTCAAGGTTATGGCAACTACAGGTGGAACCAACCTCCGTGATGACATCATGAGACTCGACGAAACAGGCAAGTGATCATAAATGAGCAGGAACCGTTTTAAAATAGTTTGAACTGCTGTAAATATACCTTTCATAAACCCTGGGTCTTATTGGATTAAACTCTTGCCTTTGTAGTGCATGTTGTCATCGCCACTCCAGGAAGAATTTTAGACCTCATCAAAAAGGGAGTGGCCAAAGTCAATCAAGTACAGATGGTTGTGTTGGATGAGGTATGTGAATAAGAGCTTAATCTTGTAGTAATGCTAATTACTTGCTTAAATGCCACATGGTAATACCCATCTCATTGATGTTTTACCCATGTTACCGAGTAGGCAGATAAACTCCTGTCGCAGGACTTTGTACAGATGATGGAGGAGATGCTGAGCTCTTTGCCCAAACAAAGGCAAATTTTGCTGTACTCTGCCACCTTCCCACTGAGTGTGCAAAAGTTCATGGTAAGGTCACTGATTCAGATATAAAAACAAAAAACTTGAATGCTTGGAAGTATGCATTGGATTCTTTTATTTTCAATAATATAATAATTGTGAACCTGTAACTTTCTCGGTGCCAACTTTGTAACAGTCAGTTGTGACTTTAATGTCCACAAGTATTTTTGGCTGCGTTTACACTGGCACATAAAATTGATTGCGACACGTTTGCCCAAAAAGATAGCTTTTGTTATATGAAGACGTGCCTGTATGCACTTGCACTAAAGCCTAGTTCACACTACATGATTTTAAAACGTCGGGCTGAACTGTGCGGTTCACACTACATGACTTGCTCTCTGTGAAATCAGGAGTGTTCAAGTTGTTGAGCTGTTCACACCACACGACACAACGTGATTGATCCGCAACAGGGGGTAACTCACTACATGAGTTGACGACAACTGTCACCCAACGATTCTATCTTGTCTACAAACCACGTTTTGTCACGAAAAATCACGCGATAAAACGAACCGGAAATGACGCGAAACAGCACGCGCGCCAATACCCGGCGAAGAAGACGAGGAAGAACACAACACGCGAACATGCCTTGCTCTGATTGGCTGTAGCTCATGACATCACGTGAGCTTGAGTCGTGCGACAGCTTTGGATATCTAGCATGCTAGATATTTTTCTGGGCTCGGCGACGCGTCTGCGAGCGTCTTTGATGCGTTGTTGGCTCTTTCATACTAACAGATTGGCGAGCGTTCATCGCCCGCTAATCTCCCGCGATTTGCACGCGATAACACCCTGACCTGTCGGCGAGCTCAGCGATTTGCAAATCGGGCTTAAATCGGGCTTAAATCGGGCTTAAAATCATGTAGTGTGAACTAGGCTTAAATCTCACAGCTTATTTTACTGGGGTGGAAACTGCGAGGAAATTGCGCGCGCACAGAAACATTCAGGAGGATAGAATCTGGTTTTCAATCTCTGCCCTGTGAATTTTAAAAATAAAACAAGCTTCGCTACTGAAAGCTGCATTATATGCTATTTCTCAACAACGAGGTGATAAATTAGCTGTTTTTGTAAATAAACTAACAAGCCTCACTTATATAGATGCATGCAGGTAATTCACACTTACAATCTCTCTCTCACCCTCATTAATTCCTTCGAGTTATTTCAAATAAATGAAATCTTACCACGCTACTAAAATAACAAACGAAAATTACCATTATTTTCAGCAGTCAGATTTTGTGCTGGAAACATCCATGACGGCTTTTAACTTATCCATGCAGCCAAATAATCATGGCCACCCGACGTGAATTATACAATCATTTTAGTGCGGCCATTCAGAACCTAAGGGTCAACCATGTCGCATAGTAAAACCACAACGGGACAAAAAATTGGATATGGTAAAAAGATCAGTTCTGTGCATTAAGACTTGCAGTGTAAACAGCCTTTGACAAGGAGCCAATTGTACCAGCTGTGCATAAGGTACAACTTAGTGCCCATTTACATCAAAACTAGGCTAAGTTAAGTTATAACTTGCGCACTACTAAATATTTTTGCGTTGCACCATTAAACTTGGTTGAAGCCTAACTGTGGATAATTACTTTAATGGCCCTTAAATATGAACCTGTCCTAAACGGCGTGTCCGTGTTGTGCATGTCAAATAAATAAATTACATTTCTTATAGTATTGTATTTATTTTTGTCAGTATTTATTGATCGTTATTAATTTCAAATACAGTTTCTTGAATGTGAATGTTATTTACATACATCGAATTTAAGCGAAACGTATTTTTGCCGTTAGTTATGTGTAGCAAAAGAAGTTAGAATGAAGGATAAACTGAAATTCAAACAGCATAAACTAAAGCAGCATTTAAACAGCTTCTGCTAACGTATTTGAAGACTGCTGTTAGATCACTGAAGGTAAACCACTACACATTACTCTAGAGTTTACGACCTACTAGCTACGTTCTGCCTAAAAAACAAATGGTGCAACCGAATAAAGTACAGTAAGTTACAAACTAGGTAGTAGTTACTAAGCTGCTAGTGTGGATTTTATGTTCCAATCCAAGTAAGAACTTATGGCTGGTCCAACGCTACCCAGTTCATTAAGGCTCAAACTTTGTTCATACATTGGCCAGTGTCGCTAGGGGTGCTCAATTATGCCAAAATGAATCATTATGGTTATTTAGTCATTCACAATTATTAAACAGAATGACTTGACTGTGGAAACATTGTGCATTTAAACTTATAAAAAAAAAAAACTTGTCATATTAAGAGTGGATTTTCTTGAACTTTAAATATAATTTAACTTTATATATATAAAAAAAAAAATTTGTTTATAAAAAAATAAATTGAATCAATTAATAACTGTTTCTGCAGTGCACTACAAATTTAGGGACGTTCAGAACCACACCGTTCTAAATTAAGGGTGAGTGTTGGGTTTGTAAAACAAAAAAACAACGTAATAAATGCGGTTTTATTTTCTTAATCGTAGGAAACCAAAAATGTAAATGAAAATATGATTTCATTAATGGTCAGGTCACTTTTTGTGTGCATCCAGAGTCCGCAAATAGAATGGCATGCTTTTTGTTTTGTTGCCTAGTGGCAGAAAACACTGATTTGTACTTTATTGTATGTTTGCTACATTAAGCCTAAAACAAAAATGTTTGCATGTAATTGTTTTGTGAGGCTGTCATCAGTTTTCATAAAGTATTAATTTACACTGCTTTTGTGAACAGAACGCCCATCTGCAGAAGCCCTATGAGATAAACCTGATGGAGGAGCTGACCCTGAAAGGGGTTACTCAGTATTACGCCTATGTGACTGAAAGGCAGAAAGTCCATTGCCTTAATACTCTGTTCTCCAGGGTAAAAGCCTTTTTGAGCCTTGTGCATGCCACACTTGATCTGACTACAGATAAACTGACTGTTGCAGAACATGCGGACATCCTTTTTTTTAAATGTTTGTTTGTTTTTCAGCTCCAGATCAATCAGTCTATAATCTTCTGCAATTCATCCCAGCGAGTGGAGCTCCTGGCCAAGAAGATTTCGCAGCTTGGATACTCCTGTTTCTACATTCATGCCAAGATGAGACAGGTGGGAGTAAAGGGGGCCTGTGGTGGTGTTGCACTGCTATTGGCAGAATTTTGAAATGGAGCAAGTGTTTATGTAACGAATTTACTGGATTAAAAATTTCCATTATTTTGGGCTTATAAATCTATCTAAAATGTTGACGTTGCCAATTTTGCTAATGCGTGTTTTAATTTTTGTTTAGGAACACCGAAACCGCGTGTTCCATGATTTCAGAAACGGCTTATGTCGAAATCTCGTCTGCACTGGTAAGAACAGTTTACCTCGTTTATAATAGACATATTTAATCAAAGTTGGTGTTTTTGACCCCTACTTTTTTTGTTTAGATCTCTTCACAAGAGGAATTGATATACAAGCTGTGAATGTGGTGATCAACTTCGATTTCCCCAAACTTGGGGAGACGTACCTCCATCGCATTGGCAGATCTGGTGAGTAAGGTTTTGTTTTGGTGTCCGCTCTGAGATCAAGCAATGTTGCATTTGGCACTTGCCAAACAGTGACTTTGAATGACATTATGACACTCTCCTTCTCTCCCCACAGGCCGATTTGGACACTTGGGTCTGGCCATTAACTTGATCACTTATGATGACCGCTTTAACCTGAAAGGTATTGAAGAACAGCTGGGTACTGAAATCAAGCCCATTCCCAGCAGTATTGACAAGAGTCTATATGTGGCCGAGTACCATAGTGAGAGTGGGGAGGAGGTTAAACTGTGAGCAGGAGAGGTGAGTTCAAAGGTCACTCACTCAACAGCTTTCAGTTTCTCTGAATGTTTGATTTAACCATCTTTTTCTTTTTCTACCCCTTGCAGATCACCAATCCTTTGTCCCCTATCCCCACCTTTTTTTCCTTCCCTACTGTGTATAGGGAGTAGGGGATAATTTTGTTTAAACTATATCTTCCTTCTGTCTTCCTCTTCCCCCGTTTTTTTTTTCTTCCTGTCTTGTTTGGTGCCACCACAAGGAATGTGATGTTGCAAAGGCACAATAATCGGGAAGGACTCATGGCCTAATAAAGGACTGCTGCACTGAAATTTTCATCCTGAAGACTTCAAATCCCTCGAGGAGGGAAAGAGGGGACACGAGGATTTATCTCCTAAGAAAAGAAATGACTACTTATTGCCTGCAAGCACATTCTCACCCCACTCTCTCTGTCCCTCTGCACATCTTCATGTTTCTAGTCATTTGAAACAAGTGCCTTAACAAGCAGTCTAACTTGTTCAAAAAGTAATAACCTGATATGATTTTTTTTTTTCTCCTTTCATAACTCTTCATTTTAAGACATGATCTTGATTTTTCTATGGCTTTTGGGATCGCTTGTCTGCCCCCTCCTGTTTGACATCAGAAGAATAATTTTGCATTTGCCACCTATAGATTTTTGGGGCAATGAAGAACAGGATTTCACAGTGGGAGAGAGGATGGGGGTGGTGTGTGTGTGCAGTCTCTGGCATACTTGACTATGGTGTGAAGAGAAGCCCCCTGGAGAACTGAGATGATATCAGTGAGCATGATGACAATGATAGGAGCTAATGTTCTTGTGTCAAGCTTTCAAAAGTCCCACAAGGCTCTCAATGGATTTCCCCCCCTTCATCCACTCATGGAACATGCCATGCCTCTAGAGACCCGTAACTCTTTCCCCCTCTGTCTTCAGTGGGCCAACACTAAGAGACTTGACCGGACTCAGACCAGCCTTTCTCCTTGGCCATGAGGACTCCTGCTTTGAGACGAATGTGGATTTCTTTCTTTCTTTCTTTGTTTTTCCCCCCCTCTTTGTTTCTTTTTCTTCCCCCTCCCCTTTTCCTCCTGATTTCAATACAGTTTTGCATTCTTATTGGGTAGGCACTCTGTCCTAAATGTGCCATTTATACAGATTTGGCGCATTGTAAACATTTTGTAAATACTTCATTTATTTTTTTAAATGGATTGTTTTAAAACGAGCTAAAAAGGCTGGATGACCATTTGAAAACAGTGTTTGAAAGATCTTTTAAAATCAGGACTTTGTCAGCACTGGACGGCGGTATTTTGTTTGCTTATTCCATAATTTTCGCCCATGGGAAATAAGTTGAAACCTTTCCAGGTAGTGCACCACCTTTGCTTTGTTATAACAAAAAAAAAAAATTGGGCTCCCCACATTTTCTTTTTAAATCCAAAAACACCGTTCAAATGTTTTGTCAGCTTCTAAGCGTTTCAGCGGGTGGCGCAGTTGTTCAGATTTGCACTTCACTCTAAATTGTCTCTCATCATTACCCAGTGTTGACAAAAGTTCCTGATGTGGGTTGCTCAAATAAATGGCCTCATTTTAGGGTTGAGAAAACTTGAGGCTTATTTGCTTTCCAGCCTTTTGCTTGTAACACTGACTAAGGCACTCTGCAGGGTCCCCTAACTCGGGTGACTCTAATCATAGAGGTAATTTAATATTTTCATCATGTAATAGTGCTTCTCGCTGCAATGCAGCTCAAATTGGCAACGTGCAAAAATGTTGAATTTATAAGCGAGATGTGTAGCTGTTACATGGGTTTGTGTTCTCTGGCACTAGGACATGATGACTTTAAACAGACCGTTTGGGCTTGGAGGATTGAAAGGAACTTAGTTCCCATTGGTGAAAGGAAAAAATGGACAAAAACAACAACTGGATGCCAAGACTTCTAAACGATGGACTGACATAATGTAGCGGCAGAGACATGCAGTGCATCGCGAGTCAGCAGGCTTTTCTTTTTTTTTTTTTTTTTTGGAACAAGACATTGTTCTTAAGATGCTGCACAGATTTAACAGAAGGTTCTAAACCTTTGCAGTGTGGGCTGCACTTAAGTGTGAACTTTAGTTCAAGGGTTGGGCAATAATACGGACTGCACACGTGCTGGGAGCACTTCCTCGGTTAGGGCAGATGTGTTTTTTATTTTTTGTTTTGAGGAAGTATTGTGCAGCGACAAGGGTATTTAAGATGGGGAGATGGGGTATGTGTATTTCATGGGTGCTGAAACCAAATGTTTTTTTTTTTTTTTTTTTGCAGCAGAATATTTATCCCCCTCCCCCAAACACTAATAGCCTTTATAGATTTTTTTTTTTTTCCTGGGGATTGACAGGGGCTTGCTTGAGACACTTTAGCCCTTCTGCTGCTTTTTTGATTAGTTATGCGTTTTGCGGGTTGTAACTTTATGGGGGTGGGTTGGAGGTTGGGAGGGATACAATTTGATGCTTTTTTTTTGTGATTATTGGCACAGAATTTACTTTGAATTTAACGTTGGAGTGTAACATCACCAACGTCCCCATTAGAAAGTCAAATACAGGTGAGATGTTTTTATTTTATTAAACGGATTGGCTTTGTCTACTGCGGAGTGTTGCTATTATTTTTTTCCTGAGACAATTAAGCAAGTTTGTTCTAACTGTGGTTAGTTACCAAATTATGAGCATGTATTTGCCCCATATTTCAGCACTTGCAACATTTTCCCAGTGACATTGCTCCAATCCAAGCTTGTATTCTCTCCTCTATAGGACATGCCCCCGGTGTGCACATAGATGGTCCGCCAGGCTAATCAGCTTTGGTTTCTTTTGGGGGCTTTTTAAACAGATCAGCTCTAGAGGGGAGTATACAAGTTACTGGGTTCTTTGGCAGCAGCCCGGTGTTTTTCAGTAACCACTTGCCATGAAAATCACTGTTCGTTCCTGAGATGCTGTAAAGCAGCGTGGGATTGGATGTGCTGTGGTCTTTGCCATTGTGGTTGGGGTTTTGATTTCATTTTAGGTTTTGTTTTCCTTTTATTTCGAAGAATAGGGTGGAGAACATCTCACCTGTTTAATAGTTTATCTGAAGCGTACAAAAATTGCCATCTTGAAATCCACTCTTTCTTCAATATTTTTTTTCCTTTGCTTTTTGTTTATTTTTATTTATTTATTTATTTATTTTTTGTGTTGGGGTGGGTGGGAAGGGTTTTTTGCTGCCCTGATGCATCTATTGCTATTCCAATACTTTATTATTTTGGGCTGCGTTTCTCAAAAACCGCATAAGCCTAAGTAGATTGTAGAACCATTGACACTAATGGTCTCTACGATCTACTTAGGCTTACAATGTTTTTTGAGAAACGCAGCCCTGTTCAGTGTTGAGAGTGCTTGGATACATCGGTTTGGGTTAATGGGTGGGAGGGAAAGGGAGAGAATTGGTTTCAAAACATCAAATAAACAATTTGGGAGTTCAGGGTAAGGAAAATTTGATCTTAACTTTGCCCTTAAATTAGATTTTTCTTTTTTTTCTTTTTTTTTTGGATACTGCAGATTAAAACGACAAACCAAATTTAAGAAATCCAAAGTATATATATATTTTTTTCCACCTTTTCAATTTGGGTAATTTCAATTGGCATTTTTCTCAGTGATGCTACGTTTTTAAAGATTTGAGATGTATAAAAGTGCAATGGTTAACATCTGTGATGGTTTTTGTTTGGAAATAAAGCTCACTGAAGTTCCATGTGTGTTTAAGGTGTCTTTTTTGTTGAGTTTCTCATGACATGTATTCATTGTGTTGGTGTGTGAATTTAATGTGAAGACTTCCTCTTGTAAGACTTATAATTACAGTATGTTTGTTTGAGCTTTTGTCACTATAAATGTCAGTTTCCAATACTGTTTTGTCTCACTAGATGTCAGTATTTAGATTTTAGATTTAATTTCTTCCCTATTGTTACATTTTAATGCTGCCCTGGTACTAACAATCTGCATACTAATATGCGAGACTAGGTTTATTATTCTCTGTAAATGATTAATCACAATAGCATGATTTTAAACTGACCTATAACGCCCTAATCATTGATAATCCGAGCACAGAGCTTTAAAACTCAGGCTTCAGTTTACTGACTGTTCATTACTACCGACTCCAAGATGCACTGCTTAATTGTGACGATCTTTTCATCCATCCTTTTCTCTTCCGGCGACATGCTTCTGGCACCTTGTGACAGGTTAGTTCCCACAACCCTCTTCTTGATCAAGGCTTCATTGCTGAAATCTGAACAGCTTTTGTGAATTATCCAATGAGAAGACTGCATTAAATATTAAGCCGAATATATTGGTGACTGATGTGTGCACGTAAACGCTTAAATGTGTCTTTTTGTTCCATGGGTTATGTGAAATGATTTGTGGTTTTCATTATGAAGACTTCAACAGCCACCAGATGGTATTCTCATGGCTGAACTTTGAGTCCATGACAAAGCAGGTGGAGTGTTTAATAAAGGTTCAAAGCTCAGCTTCTCAGCATTCAAGAAGAGCAGTAGAGAATGTTATTGATCTTGTTTTTTATGAGCTTAACCCTGTTACTCTGGTGCATCTGCCTGACATGTTTGTTACCACCAGTCTGATCTACTGCACAGGAGAAGTCCTGCGACAGGTCCAGATGGCTAAACTGTTTGATGATGACAAGTACTTTGTAGATATGAAGTTGACTACAGCTCCTGGTGAGTCAAACACGTTTGATTTGTTCTGATGCTCATCAGAAAAGCTCTATGCCTGATTTCGTGTGCCCTCTGCCATTCCCCTGCTTACCCACAGAGGTCGTTGTGGAGGCTTTTGCAAATCTGACCTCGACGTTCCCAAACCAGACCGTCCCATCCACAGAGCTACAGAAGTTCCTGCAAACATACTTTGAAGAGCCGGGTAAGGAGTTTGAGCAGTGGACTCCTACTGACTGGCATTCAAAGTAAGAACATTTTGTGTGGACAATGAGTTATCTTGATGCAACAGAATAGTATTTCTACCTGAAAATGATAATTCTGTCATTTACTCACCCTCCAGTCTATGATTTTCTAGGAATTTTGCATGGTTTGAAAGCTCAGTCAACATTCACTTAAAGTATATGGGAAGAGCAGCCAGGACATTCTGCAAAATTTCTCCTTTTGTGTTCCACTGAAAAAAGTAAGTCGTGAGAAAAAGGCTTTTAAATGTGAATGTTGCCTGTTCCACAGACCAAAATTCTTATCCAGGGTGTCTGACTCAAAATATCGCAGTTGGGCTGAAGAACTGCACGGTTTGTGGAAGTCCCTTGGTCGAAAGGTAAATATTGGTTTTCAACAATGTACAGCTGGGGAAAAAAAATGGTGTTAAAACACTTTACGCCGTGAGACAGAGGGTTGATTGGTACCATTTTGAGGGATTAAACCGCATGGTGATTTTTGTGTTGGTATATGACCCTGTATTTGAAAAATGTGTGATAGCATTAGATTCAATGTAGTTCTTGGTTACGGAGGATGATTTTCAAACATATGTCAAGAAAAAGGATAAATTAATTTATCTTTAAATACATTTTAAATTTTATAATTTTTTTATAAAATATTATACATTTTTATAAAAAAATAAATAATTTTTTAAATTATAAAAGGGTACATTTTTCTCTCTTGTAGTCACTGAACACCTTACCTTGAGGTAGGATGATATAAGTGTTGATTTCTAATGAAAGCTACCATGGATCGGATGCTATCACACATTTTCCAACACTAGAGTCAGTGTCAGATAACACTGAATTAAACATGAAATTTAAGTAGAAAAGCCAATAATATTGATACAATCAATATCTGTTTTATTTACAACTTCAATAATATTTGTCTTATTACTGTATCCGTGGCTGTGCAGATCCGTGATGATGTCCGAGACCATCCAGAGCTGTACTCGCAGATTTACACCCCGCACCCGGTCGTCGTGCCCGGAGGCCGCTTTAGGGAACTCTATTACTGGTTAGTCTCTCTCTTTACCAAATACGTACACACAAGTACACTGAACAAAATTATAAACGCAAGACTTTTATTTTTGCCCCCATTTTTCATGAGCTGAACTCAAAGATGTACACAAAAGGCCTATTTCTCAAATATTGTTCACAAATCTGTCTAAATCGGTGTTAGTGAGCACTTCTCCTTTGCCGAGATAATCCTAAAGATTTAGACAGATTTGTGAACAGTATTTGAGAGAAATAGGCCTTTTGTGTTCATAGAAACACAGATAGATCTTTGAGGTCAGCTCATGAAAAATCGGGGCAAAAACAAAAGTGTTGCGTTTATAATTTTGTTCAGTGTATTTGCACAATAATTAGTGGTACTTGTTAATGCCAGTATCACTGTTATTGCTCATACATTGCTCTCCAGGGACTCATATTGGGTATTAAATGGCCTCCTTTTGTCTGAGATGACCGAGACGGCTCGAGGAATGATTCTGAACTTCGCGTTCCTTGTGGAAAGGTGCACTTCTCACACACATAGATGTACTTCAGCACTAAATTGCATTTTAACCGTTTTTAACAGTCTATTAATGCTGTGCAAAACACTTCACGCACCAGTTTTGTTTCAAAACGGTACCACTAAATATTTCACTTCAAATTCTGTCACTCATTATTCACCCTCACATCGTAATCATTATGCTGTTTTAAAAAAAAAATGTTTTTGGTTGAACTAAGTATTGCCTCAGTTTGTGAAATTTAATTGAGCAATTAAATTAAAATTGTAGTAATATAATGAATTTTATTAAACATTATCCCTTCACTCCCATTTAGATACGGCTTTGTCCCAAACGGCGGTCGAGTTTATTACGAGCGGCGCAGTCAGCCTCCCTTCCTTCCCATAATGGTGGAGAGCTTCTATGAGGTCACCAGAGACAAAGACTTCCTCGGGTAACCTTTCCTACTAAATTGCCTTCCTGCAGGGTTGTTGAATATTGAGGTGTTGCGCTCAAGTGCCCTGAACAACACCTCTGCACCGCATGAGCGCTGTGTGTGTGTGTTTAGGCAGGTTTTGCCAGCACTGGAAAGAGAGTACAGCTTTTGGATGCAGAATCGCTCTCGTGTTGTGGCGATAAATGGACTGACCCACATCCTGAATCAATATAATGTACCGGTGGACAGACCCAGGTGAGACCATGCATTAACACTCAGGGTCACCCCTAAAGCTAAATGAAAAATAAGAACTCCTATTTTGCATGGCTAAATAACCAAATTGGTCCATTATTTCTTTATTATTATATAAAATTCTCATTACAGTAATGCATTTTTTTGTTGTTGTATTTATGATTATATGGGTGATTGTAATCTGCCAGTCCCACTACTTTGTGATAGATAGATAGATAGATAGATAGATAGATAGATAGATAGATAGATAGATAGATAGATAGATAGATAGATAGATAGATAGATAGATAGATAGATAGATAGATAGATAGATAATAGTTTTAATAATACTTTGAATTATTTTTATATTTTCAGGTTTAATTTTACTTAAAGGTTTAGTAATTTCATTGTTTTTTTATATTTTTAGTAGTTTTTATTTTTTAAATCTTGTTTTTTTAACTGTGTGTATATATATTGTGTATATATATAGTATATATATAATGTGTATATATATATTATATATATACTTTTTTGTTATTTTAGTAGCATTGAGATACTATTATAGTTTTAAATAATACTATGTATTAGTTTTTACTTTTTAAGGTTTAGTAATTTCATTGTATGTTTGTTTTAAACATTTTTTTTTTGTTTTTTTTTCCAAATAAAAAACATATATGCATATATATGCTTGCTTAAATGTGTGCTTAAATAAAATGCATATATATGTTTGCTTAGAAACAGTTAAAAAAATAAAAACACAATGAAAATGACTTAACCTTTAACTTTATTTTATTCTATTTTAATGGCATTGAGATACTATTATAGTTTAATAATACTTTGAATTAGTTTTTATTGTTATATTTTCTGGTTTAATTTTATTTTTAGTTAAAGGTTCAGTATTGTTTTTTTAAATGTTTTTTATTAGTTTTTTTTTTTTTTTTTTTAAATGTCTTTATATATTTTTAGGTTTATTTTAGAGAATCATGTTAAACTAAAAGAACGAGAAAAGTAACGAAAAGGATTTTATGGTTTTAGTTAACCATAATAACCCTGCATAAAACATTAACACAATATTTTGTTGTTTACTAATGCAGCTTTAATTTAAGGCAGCATATACCCTCACTTCTCATTGCAGTAATGCAATTTTTTTTAATAAAAATCTTTCTTATTACTGTGATTCTCAATATTGTAATAAAGTAAAACATCTGGATGCATTACAGTATAGAAATCTGTGACTATTTGCAGGCCTGAGTCCTACAGTGATGATGTTGAACTGGCTGAGGGTCTGTCAACAGGTAGGAATCCAGGGGCTTGATTCAGGAATCATCATTCAAGTTGTACATGTACTTACAATAAGTTGCAGTTAGGGATTGGTTTAGGATTAGTTACTTTACTTGTAATTATGCATAATTTACTGTTAGTACTAGTAATAAAATGTAGTAACGTGTAACTGAGTCACCTTCAAATAGTGGTACCGGAGACTCCTACAGATTTGGAAGTAGATGACAGAATTAAAAATGTTTTTGTATACTATCCATTCAAAGTGCCCCTATTATGCTTTTTCAGATATTACCTTTCATGTAGTGTGAAATATAGCTGTTTTTGAATGTAAAGTTCTGCAAAGTTTCAAAGTTCTTGATAAATGGAGTTGTCTCGCAAAAGAAAAAAATTCAATTTAGAATGGCCTGAAACGTCGTCAGCGCTGTTGCCAACTATTTTCAATGGAAAATAACTAAGCCTGCTCAAAAAGTTGATAAATGTCACTAAATGACGTCATGCTCCAGTTGTCGGCATGTTTTCTCTCCTAATCCATGCTCACATACTGTATTTTAATATAATATTGCCGAATGTCCAATAAAGCTGTTCTCATTTACATATTTTGTCATCCATCGGAATGTTATTGATTTAGTGACTGACTACATGTTAGCCAGCAGTCCAACAAGTTGCTATATTTGTCTTTTTTCAAGTCGCAGAAGGGGTCTGAATCAATCACAACACACTGGCCCACCTGACCAATCAGAGCAGAGTAGGCTCACAGAAAGGAGGGGTTTAGAGAGACTGAATCCTTGATCGAACCATTTCAGACTCTGTGAGAAAATAGGTGATGCTGCAATGTATATTATGTGAAAATGAAAGGAACCTTTAAAAAAAGCATAATAGTGGGATCTCCCTTATTATGTGTGTGAATATGCTTGTGTATTACAGAGGCTCAGAAGAGACTTTGGATGGAACTGACATCTGGGGCAGAGTCCGGCTGGGATTTCTCTTCTCGCTGGTATATAGACGGCACAGGCAGAAACAATGGCACCCTGAGCGACACACAGACCAGCTCAATCCTTCCTGCTGACCTCAATGCCATCATGTGCCGCAATGAGCGTCTGCTGGCCTCCTTCCACAGGATTCTGGGTAAAAGAGTAAAAACACACTCATTTCTATATACACACTCCTGATTTGAATAAATATGCATATTCATAAATATTCTTTAGTAAAATGAAAGGGTCCAGCCGAACCTGTGGCCTAGAAATTAGCACACATTCTCAATGGATGATGCTAGTTGGATGAAACTAATCGCCTTATTTCATTTCCTCTCCCCATCATTTGTTCGAACCTTTTTCCAAAATTTGAAGCTGCAATTCGATAATCTTTGTCAGGAAATCATATCCAAAATTGTCCCCTTTATGATGCTCTATATCAGTCCTCGATCATTTTGTAGTATTGTCCGTATTTTGAATAAACAATTTAATTACCTAAAGCATGCACTCTTTTAAACCCATAATGAACTCTTCCTATTACATCTTCCTTTTATTCCTGCAAATTGCCATTCTGGTATTGTTTATTTTATTTTAATATATAGCATTTTTAATAAATCATCAATTATAATTAGTAATATAACAAATATTCATAGAATGGTAATGAACAATTGATTGTAATTCATTTAAATTTTTTAACTTAAATCGCAAGCTTTTTATCTTTTTAATAGGTCACATTATTAAATCAGAAGATTGCACATAGAGGAAATTATACTTTGATTGATGGTTCAAATATTCGTCTATCACCTGTAGTTAACAAATTAATCTAATCAATTCATATTTAATTTAGTAGCTTAATTAGGCTTTAAGGATGGATGATGGTCTTCTCTAAGCACTGAAATTAGTAATTTATTTATTTAATAATGCATAGATATTTTTTTGGACAATTTTTACAATTATTAACATGTATTTATATATATATATATATATATATATATATATATATATATATATTAAACATACAGTGGACCTCATATATTCACTTAATGTGTGAGGTCTCTTTGGCATATGTAAATGATAATGTGTATATATACATTTGTGTTAACAGAGGTGTGGTAAAACTACTGTTCAAAAGTTTCAGGTTAAGATTTATGTTTTTAAAAGAAGTCTTTCATGCTCTGATCTCATTTGATCAAAAATACAGTGAAACCTGTAATAATATTTTACAATATTACTATTTACTATAACCGTTTTCAATTTTAATATATGAAAATACAAAGCTGAATTTTCAGCATCACTACTCCAGTCTTTAGTTGTCACATGATCATTCAGAAATCATTCAGATATTGATAAAATCCTTGAGCAGTAAATTAGCATAAACCGTTGTGCTGCATGCATATAATTTCAAATAAATGCTGTTCTTTTGACATTTCAATGTAATTATTTTGTAACAATGCAAAGTCTTTACTGTCAAAGTATGAATGTCTTTTCAAGAAAAGAAAATGTACTGACCCCAAACATTTGAACGTTAGTGTATATTTGATGAAAATGCTTGTTTAGTTTCCTTAGGTAACATAGTAAGGCAGCAGTGTATGTTCACTGTGGTTTGTGTGTTTTATTAAAAGCCCTCTGAGATTTTTGTTCTTCTGGCGTCTTGTTTCCTGCAGGCAATGAAGAGAAGGCTGCGGACTATGAGAAGGCACTTTCTGCTAGAATTAAAGCGGTTGAAAGTCTACTGTGGGATGCAGAGAGAGGAGCCTGGTTTGATTTCAGCCTGCTGAACGACACCCGGCACCTGTCCTTCTACCCATCCAACCTGCCACCTCTCTGGGCACACTGTTACTCGAAGCCGGAGATGGGCGATCAGGCCGTGCAGTATCTGAGAGTGAGCCTGTCACATTACAAACCTTTCTGTCAGCTATTGACCCTTTAAGAGTGGGTGATGCGTAGACTGTATATAACATAAACAATGTTTCCTTCCTGTAGACAAGCTCCAGATTTCTCACTGCCTGACCTAATGCTGCCTGCTTTCATTAGCACCTTCCATGCACACTCACAGTAACTTAATATTGTAATGTCTTTATATATTATATATACCCTCTTGAGAAACACCACTGTTCGCTTCCCAGTTTGTTCCCTATTGATTTATAAAAGATCTCTGTTTTTAAATTTCACAGGAAGTGAGACCTCAAACAGGGAGGTTGCCATCCCCATCTTGTTACCGAAGCAAACTCCATGCTCAACAGCAGATGGCACTCTTTGCACAGTATTTCAAAAACCTTCTCTCTCTTTTTCTCTTTCTCTGTTTAGGCTAGTGGAGGACTGGACTATCCTAACGGGGTTCCCGCCTCTTTTAGTGATAGTGGGCAGCAGTGGGACATGCCCAACGCCTGGCCTCCGCTTCAACACATGATTATAGAAGGTACATGGTCGCTTAATCTTGATTTTTGTGACTTTAAAGTCAACATGAAATCATATGTATTTTAGTGTTTTCCTTAATACACATTGTTTCAGAGCAGCTTTACAGAAAATCATGATGTTAATGTATATAATATGTACAGTCGCATGTTAAAACTGGGTGATAGTTAACATTTTGAATCAATTAAAGCAATCAAGAGGTGAATATATAATGTATAGAAAATATCTCCCTAAACAAGTATACTGTATGAATGCATATAAAGCTGTACATTTTTATACATCCAATTTTACATAAAGAGCTCGGTGATATAATGGTTACATTTTGACAAAAAAAAAAGGTTAGTGCTTAAACTTAAACTTGTTTCAGTTTATTGCCTATGGAACATTTCCATTCAGTTTAAGTTTTTATATTTAAGTTATATTTTTTTCAGCTTTATTTCAATTAACAGAAATGTTTAGGTAGCACTTTATTGTACAGCCCTGTCCCCCATGTACATACTATGACATTTTTATAGTTACTACAATAACTGGGTAATAACCAGGCACTAACCCTGAACCTTCCCATAATCCTAACTTTAACCCACCTTATATTACCCAGTACTTTCTTAGGGCTATTATTGTTTACTAAAACTATTAAAAACATGTTTGCACTTTATTTTAGACTATGAACACTTACACGTACTTGCCTAATTTGCCAAATAGTATAAATTGCTTTAGAAAGTAAATGGGGTCCATTTAAGTTACATGCAGTACACTCACATAAATACATTTTCTTGGTTTTATTGCACATGATTCATCAGTATATTTGTCTGTATTTTACCTTTTTGTTCAAACTGACATTAATTAGGCTCAATGTGATCAGAGAACTATTTCAGAAGTCATATTCCTGACTCTGTCTCCATCCGGAAGCCATTTTGTCCTGATAATCAGACTTCTCTTTAGTCTGGTTGCTAACTGGCACTGTGATTCACACTTGTTCTCTCATGCAAAGCAGTGTGATGTTTAGCCTTATGTAATGAGTGTGTGTGGGCTGGGTTGTTCTTTGACCTATTAATAGAACAGAAAGTATTAAATAAAGAGCTACATCTGTTGGGCCAAACATCCAGGCTAATTGTATGAACGCATGATTTTCTGGTCACCCTTCTAAGAACGTGCAGGATATTGGTTAATGTCAACCGGTAGCCAATACCTCTATAGGTCATTGTTTATTACATGTTACTTTGGACATAAAGTGGTAAATCAACACAGTATGCCATTACAGTTGCAGTTTCCTTTATTTTTATTTTCTTTCTTTTTTTGGGGTGCACTTTATTTTGAAGGTGAAGGACACATTGTATGATTTTGGGCTGTCCCAGATAAAAGATGACCAATCGTAGCGATTTCTGTGTTTGTGGCTCCTAAACTGAGGTCCTACGTCGTACAGTGAGAGAGGTTCAAAGACGGCCGTTGTCATGATCTTGGGACCATAGATAGCCTGCGATCATTTTCTGAAAGTTTCAGAAATTTAGCATGATCATCTCAGTGTGTTTACTGCTACGAGCTACGTCTACTGACTAGCCAATAAAAATACAACATGAAATGGTGTATTGATCAACGCGACATGGATAAAGACCAGAAATAGGATTGGGCACCAGAACCCCTGGTCTAATAAGTAACTTTGCATCTACATGTCAACTAACTCTCAGTAGACTGTTGGGTTAGGGTTAGCTATTTTTTTTTAATGTAGTTTGTTCATAGTTTTTGAGGACGGCGCCATGTAATGTAAATTTGTTTGCATCTGCCGAATTTGGCTCTCTTCTATCAAGTGGCAGATGAAGATCTGTGTTTTTCTCACTGAAAATCCTGGAAAGCAAATGGTTGGGAGAGAACATCCTTGAAAAAAGTGTGATCATAGTGTAGACAATAACAGTTTGGTTCTCTTCCAACTCCTGACAGCAGTGTACTGTTTATCCAAAGGCACAGGCAGGCTGTAATGCATCAGCATCAAACACATATTTTGCACATCAGCCACTTCAGCTATAACTTGAAGCAGTGTGTCTCAAGAATCTTCATTCTGTTCAATGTGTGAACTAAATCATATTTTTCCCTTAAATTCAATTTGCGTGCTGTCACATCTCGTCTGTGAGTTTTGGAAGTGACTATTAAGATGTGATTAATGATTCTCAGTAGTTTTGCCATTTAAATGACCCACTCACTTCTCACCCCATCCATCATGTCTTTGCAGGTCTCTATGGGCTCGATTCAGCCCACGCTAAAGAGCTCGCCTTCAGTTTGGCCCAACGGTGGATACAGACCAACTGGCGGGCGTACATCAAATATGAGGCCATGTTTGAGAAGGTTAAGTCCACTAAAATTCACTCTGGGCTGTCTCCAAAATCACCCCCTTTACTCTTATATAGTGCAGTATTTGAGGTATCAATATTTACAGAATAAACCATCTATCGAGAGCATTCATTAGATCCCAGAATGCACCACAGTAATGATTGTCCATCTGATGAACGCTCAATTGCTAGCTCCTAGAGAATACCCATGCACTGATGAATTAAGTTAATTTCTGCGCATCGCCAGAAAATGCTGTCCGCAGGGCATTCAGTGTCCAAATCCGCTTAATTTTCATTCACTCATTCACTGAGTATATTAGTGGAGTAATGTAGGTAATAGGAAATTAAATTTTTTGGAATAGGTGCCGATTTCGGATACAGTCCCTCTCTACAGTTTGGCTTTAATTAGTTTCTGCATTTGTTTAAAGTCACCATGAGATTAAAATGGACAATTCTTATTTAATGTATTGCAGTGTTTATTATAAATGGTTTATCCGTGCACATCATTAGTTCTGTAAAATTCCTCCAGGGCTCGATAGTAAGGACTGCCCAATGGCACCGGGCCAGCGTGAAAGATGCTCTGGACAGTTGGCGGATCTGTTAAATTGCGTCATCACGAAAGTTGATCATTTGCATGTTTTTAAGTCTGGTCAATTTAAACATTTAAAGTCCCACTCCGATCATATTTTGAGCTATTTTTAAACATTCCCAGTGGTCTTTAAATTATGATTATGCCATTTTTAGCAAAAATCACAAAACCTGTGCCGTTTTCTGGGACTTCGCTTCAGCAGAGCGGCAGTAGCTCATTAGCAATTCGCCTCTGCGTTGTGGGCGGAGCCGTTGGCACGGAGACGACCCTCCCCCTGCCCGTTGCTGAGAGCTCTGTCTCTCCCGCTAGCTTACATCCCCAATACCGGTGGGGCAACAGTATTATATACACGTTAATTATTATTATCCGAAGTTAATCAAAGTTATCACCGATCATTATTTCACTCCAAGACGTCGCGTGTGGAGACGCCCAGTGGAGTTACTACGTCACAACTCCAGTCTATTTTAGCCGGCATTTTAGCGTCTGCTACTGATTCACAGCCATTTGAATGTAGAAATACTCAGAAATACAACTTTGAGCTTATTTTTCTTAAGAGATGTCCTCTAACATCAGAAAAATGCCACAAGAACATGTTAACACCTTGAAAAAAATTATTTTCATCGGAGTGGGTCTTTAAGTAGTTTTTAACCATTCAGATTCAAAAGCAAGATGATGTGACAGAACTCAATTCATTACTCGTGCGCTATTTTCTGTGCACACACACACACAGAGCGCACTGAAAACAGCTTGCTGAATTGAGTTTTCACGTCATCTGGCACTTAAAAACGAAAAAATGCACACAAAGTATGTCAAAATGTCCTTCTTGGGGAGTATTCACTGTCGTTATGTCTTCTAACTGAACGTAAACGATGAGAAAGAAAATGCGTGTGTAACAGTATATTGGTTCTGTGCATTTGATCTTTAATGACAGCCAGCAGAAGGAATATTAGGCTGCTGTCACTTGATGTTAATCAAACAACAAAAGACAATGAAAATCACTCACTGATCTTTACTGACTTTTGAAAATTTAATTAATTTATATTTAATTTAAACAGTAAACACTATGCAGTGTTATTTCACGTTTGATTATTAATTTCTGTACCTGAATACGGTTACTTGAACCTTTTTTTGGTCTTTCTTTTGAGCTTGCTTTATTTGAGCTGTTGCTTTTAATTTATTTGTTCTTATTTTGTTACTGAAGACTTACTTGTCTTCAATTAAGTTTTAACTTTATATTCCAATTAATAAGCCACAAAATTGAGATACCGGTGAAATTTCACAATTCTTGATTCCAATTTCAATACCTAACCAACAGAATGTTACATTGGCCCAAAAACAAATAAATAAAATGTTTTGTTCTTTTGACCCGTGAACAATTTTTCAGGGCAAGTAAAAACTTCAACCAACTGGGCAAGTCAAAAAAGTCGAGTACACAAGCTTTGGGACATACTATCACGTCATACAATTGCGTCTTTAACGGTTGCTCTCTGTCGCATCCTGTCACAGTAAACTGGCCTGTCAATCATCTTGTCACAGTTAAAAATCATCCACATTTCATTTAATTTCACTTCCTACCATATCGGCGAGAAATGCAGAAGCACGTTGATCTGAAGTCGCGGGTCTGTCATGTGGAGACTCTCCTCATATTCATGCATAATGATGCATTTAAAAGTTAATGGTCAAACAGATCTTTATAAAAGTCCACATTGTTATTGCAGATGAAATATAACACGGATAACATGAAATAAATATTTTTTTTAAACTTTGATTAGTCACTCAAACCTTTATCTAAACCTCTCACCGTCGGTTGTGCATATCTTCCATGTTTTGTCGTTTTTTTTTTAGCACTTTGTGTTTGTAGTTCCTCCAAAGCGCAATGGGTTGTGGGCAATATTAGCCTTTATAGTGTGCACGGATCCACACTTTGAAAATCGACGGGAAATAGTAGACCATCTGGGGACTTCTGGCATACTCTTTTCAACAAACTATGCTTTGGGACACACACTTATTATAATCTCACATACTGTTTAGAATGGATAGTATGGACGTTTAGACCTTCAGAACTGTCTTAATTCGACGTGGCATTAATTCAACAAGGTGCTGAAAGCATTCTTTAGAAATGTTGGCCCATATTGATAGGATAGCATCTTGCAGTTGATGGAGATTTGTGGGATGCACATCCAGGGCACGAAGCTCCCGTTCCACCACATCCCAAAGATGCTCTATTGGGTTGAGATCTGGTGACTGTGGGGGTCATTTTAGTACAGTGAACTCATTGTCATGTTCAAGAAACCAATTTGAAATGATTCGAGCTTTGTGACATGGTGCATTATCCTGCTGGAAGTAGCCATCAGAGGATGGGTACATGGTGGCCATAAAGGGATGGACATGGTCAGAAACAATGCTCAGGTAGGCCGTGGCATTTAAACAATGCCCAATTGGCACTAAGGGGCCTAAAGTGTGCCAAGAAAACATCCCCCACACCATTACACCACCACCACCCGCCTGCACAGTGGTAACAAGGCATGATGGATCCATGTTCTCATTCTGTTTACGCCAAATTCTGGCTCTACCATCTGAATGTCTCAACAGAAATCGAGACTCATCAGACCAGGCAACATTTTTCCAGTCTTCAACTGTCCAATTTTGGTGAGCTCTTTCAAATTGTAGCCTCTTTTACCTATTTGTAGTGGAGATGAGTGGTACCCGGTGGGGTCTTCTGCTGTTGTAGCCCATCCGCCTCAAGGTTGTGCGTGTTGTGGCTTCACAAATGCTTTGCTGTATACCTCGGTTGTAACGAGTGGTTATTTCAGTCACAGTTGCTCTTATATCAGCTTGAATCAGTCGGCCCATTCTCCTCTGACCTCTAGCATCAACAAGGCATTTTCGCCCACAGGACTGCCGCATACTGGATGTTTTTCCCTTTTCACACCATTCTTTGTAAACCCTAGAAATGGTTGTGGGTGAAAATCCCAGTAACTGAGCAGATTGTGAAATACTCAAACCGGCCCGTCTGGCACCAACAACCATGCCACGCTCAAAATTGCTTAAATCACCTTTCTTTCCCATTCTGACATTCAGTTTGGAGTTCAGGAGATTGTCTTGACCAGGACCACACCCCTAAATCCATTGAAGCAACTGCCATGTGATTGGTTGATTAGATAATTGCATTAATGAGAAATTGAACAGGTGTTCCTAATAATCCTTTAGGTGAGTGTGTGTATATATACAGGTCCTTCTCAAAAAATTAGCATATTGTGATAAAGTTCATTATTTTCCATAATGTAATGATAGAAATTAAACTTTCATATATTTTAGATTCATTGCACACCAACTGAAATATTTCAGGTCTTTCATTGTTTTAATACTGATGATTTTGGCATACAGCTCATGAAAACCCAAAATTCCTGTCTCAAAAAATTAGCATATCATGAAAAGGGTCTCTAAACGAGCTATTAACCTAATCATCTGAATCAACTAATTAACTCTAAACACCTGCAAAAGATTCCTGAGGCTTTTAAAAACTTCCAGCCTGTTTCATTACTCAAAACCGCAATTATGGGTAAGACTGCCGACCTGACTGCTGTCCAGAAGGCCATCATTGACACCCTCAAGCAAGAGGGTAAGACAGAAAGAAATTTCTGAACAAATAGGCTGTTCCCAGAGTGCTGTATCAAGGCACCTCAGTGGGAAGTCTGTGGGAAGGAAAAAGTGTGGCAAAAAACGCTGCACAACGAGAAGAGGTGACCGGACCCTGAGGAAGATTGTGGAGAAGGACCGATTCCAGACCTTGGGGGACCTGCGGAAGCAGTGGACTGAGTCTGGAGTAGAAACATCCAGAGGCACCGTGCACAGGCGTGTGCAGGAAATGGGCTACAGGTGCCGCATTCCCCAGGTCAAGCCACTTTTGAACCAGAAACAGCGGCAGAAGCGCCTGACCTGGGCTACAGAGAAGCAGCACTGGACTGTTGCTCAGTTTTGCATGTCATTCGGAAATCAAGGTGCCAGAGTCTGGAGGAAGACTGGGGAGAAGGAAATGCCAAAATGCCTGAAGTCCAGTGTCAAGTACCCACAGTCAGTGATGGTCTGGGGTGCTATGTCAGCTGCTGGTGTTGGTGCACTGTGTTTTATCAAGGGCAGGGTCAATGCGGCTAGCTATTAGGAGATTTTGGAGCACTTTATGCTTCCATCTGCTGAAAAGCTTTATGGAGATGAAGATTTCATTTTTCAGCACGACCTGGCACCTGCTCACAGTGCCAAAACCACTGGTAAATGGTTTACTGACCATGGTATTACTGTGCTCAATTGGCCTGCCAACTCTCCTGACCTGAACCCCATAGAGAATCTGTGGGATATTGTGAAGAGAAAGTTGAGAGACGCAAGACCCAACACTCTGGATGAGCTTAAGGCCGCTATCGAAGCATCCTGGGCCTCCATAACACCTCAGCAGTGCCACAGGCTGATTGCCTCCATGCCACGCCGCATTGAAGCAGTCATTTCTGCAAAAGGATTCCTGACCAAGTATTGACTATTGAGTGCATAACTGAACATTATTATTTGAAGGTTGACTTTTTTTTTTTTTTTTTTTTTTTTTTAAACACATTTTATTGGTCGGATGAAATATGGTAATTTTTTGCGACAGGAATTTTGGGTTTTCATGAGCTGTATGCCAAAATCATCCGTATTAAAACAATAAAAGACCTGAAATATTTCAGTTGGTGTGCAATGAATCTAAAATATATGAAAGTTTAATTTTTATCATTACATTATGGAAAATAATGAACTTTATCACAATATGCTAATTTTTTGAGAAGGACCTGTATATATATGTGTGTGTGAGTTTGTATGTGTGGCTTCAAAGGTGCAGTTAGTCAATAAGCTGCGTGACAGTAGTCGTCATAAACACACTGACACCTAGTGGTGTGGATGCAGCATCACGCAAAAGTTGCCGATGTTAGTGTAGAAATAACAAGGAAAAAGCGAGCAATATTCAGCTGGTCATGTGATCTCAGCATGGCACTCAATGTAAAATTCCATTCTGAACAGCCATTATTTCCTGCTAATGATGCACGCAAATTACACGCATCTTTAAATGGATATTAAAATGTAAAATATTAATGGAAATACTGCTTTCTTAACATATTAATTTACAATCACACAATCAACATATTTTTTATGACTTGGTATTCACTTAACTTCCTCGCTCTCACTCTCTCTCTTTTTCTCTGCAATTCTCTTCACCCCTTGTTCTTGTTACAGTACAATGTCAACGGTGATGGAAAGCCCGGAGGAGGTGGCGAGTATGAAGTTCAGGTATTAATGGCCTGTTCATATTTACATATTCAAATTCATAAATCTGCTTCCGAGCTGGGCACAGCGCTTCGGAGACATTTTTAATCTCTGGAGGAATTAGGGGTAAATTAGAGTTCTTCAGACCAGCAGAACCATTATTGAAATGTAGAATCTAATTTTTTTTCCAAGACCCTGAGGACCAAAAGAGTGCCGTTTCTTCTCTAGACAAATTAATAGAAGCTCAGATAATCAAATTCTAAGTTCATAGAATACATTCCATAAGATGTATCATGGAAAGTCTTTATATCAGACTTTGGCATTAGTGTTGCAAGCATCAGTATTTCTATTGCTGAAACCCTACCCTTATTAAAATTTGGCGAATATATCTGGTCCCACACGATTTGTGCAAAGAAACATAACTGATAATCCAAACTCTCACTCTTGTTCCTTTGGCATAGTTGGGATTCGGATGGACCAATGGGATTGCTCTGCAGCTGCTGGAGCAGTTTGGTGATAGGCTGAGCTCTGGAGGGTGTGTCCTGAATGCCAGCATTATGATTGGACTCATCTATCCCATTTTAAAATCTCTGTTCTGATTCTGATCAATGATATCTGGAGGCTGAAGCAGAGGAAACATGAGAAAATCCCACATCTCTATTCAACAGTTGAAGCTGAAATGATTCAATCGATGTCATTCTGTCTGACTTACTTGCTTTTTTGGGCTCCTGCTGTGTCTTTTGTCTTTAATTTACTGAATCAATTCATCATACTGTACCTGTTGTTGTTGTTAGAAAGAGAAAACTACATGGGTCAATGTCCCATATTTCTTTTTTTGGGAGAAATAGTCATTCTTTAAATACAAATATAATGCCTTGAGTCATTTTTCTCTTACACAAAGAAAATGAGATTATGGTAACATCCATTTGTTAACATTAGTTATCATGAACTAACTAAGACTAATAAAGGCTTTAGAATTGTTAATTGTAACTTTCACTGACATTATTAAAAGCAAAAGTTGTATGTTAATATTATTTAATGGACCTGAGCTGACATTACCTAACAATGACCTGTTGTATGTTTATTAACATTTTCAAGGATTAATAAATACTATATCAAATGAATTGCTTTTTGTTAGTTCATTTTATAATGCATTAATGGTAACTGAGATCTTATTGTATGTTACTAACAGTTTTCTAATTTGTTTAATTATTCACTCACATGAAGAATTTGTTTTCATGAGATTGACCTTGAAGTAACTGTAATAAACCAGTCTGGGAGGGGTTTGATATGAACATGTAGATGATAATCCAATGGAAAATAGTAGATACAATGTTATATTTCAGGTTCATTGTCTTTGGTAGTAATTAATGTCGCTGCAGTGGCAGGATCAGAAGATTATCGTCATGACTAAAACTAAGCTGACATTACAAATGGTAATTTGCTCTAATCCAATTAAAAGGCTTATTGTGGAACTTTGCACATGCTGTGTACGAGTAATATGATCATTAAAAGTGCTACTGTTTGAAGGTGTGTGTGCAAGTGTGTACTAGTTTGATCTACATTATGTGGACACAAAGTCCTTATATTGTAGTGTATTCAGGTTTCAGGCCACGTCCCTTACATTATGAGGACTGATGTCCTTGTAATTCAAAACACTAAATATACATTCTAAACGATTTTTTTAATTAAGAATGTAATAAAACAGAAAGTTTACTGTGATGGGTAAGTTTAGAGGTAGGGTTAGGGGCTAGAAAATATCATTAGCGCAGTATAAAAACCATTACGCTCATGGAATGTCCTCATAATAATGATAGGTGTACAAATGTGTGTGTGTTGACATTTGCTTTCACTTTTATTCTCTGAATTTTACAGTTACCTTCTAAGTAGTGGGTGTGAAGGTCACACAGAACAAATCTGAAGAATGGCTGATTATTTTTTTTATCAAGAAAAGCATTTCCCAGAAGGACAGAAGAAAGAGCGAGCTAAGATGAAGTGATTGTGATTTTGCAGGTATAGCTCATCGTCATACCAGCGGGAACACAATGATGGCTGAAGTGTTTTCATTTATCTCATTACATTTATTCTTGCGAAATTGAAATTGCACAAATAGTTCGATAAGCTATGAAACATTTTAAATAGAGCTGCCTGCTAGGTTGGCGGTCTGCGTCATTGTGGTATTGTCTTTTTAAATTGTGACTGGCATACAATCTCAATATGTCTTAATGTACTGAATAAAAAAAGATAGATGGATAGATAGATAGATAGATTGAGTGAGTGCAGTAAGAGGGAGATTAAGGAAGTGGTTGTGAAACGTATGATGGAAAATGGGATCTTGCCAGAGGAGGGCGAGCTAGCAGGTGTTGCAAACCCAAAACCCAGTTTCCGTGGGTGAGGGAGCGGAGCAGACAAAAACCAGAGGAACCATTCAGCATAGATTCCGCTGAGCTGCCATCTCCACGAGACCCATAGTTGAAGAAGCTTGAGTTGTAACTTAAAACTCAGCGTGTCATCCGTCTGAAAGAGCTGGAGCTCGAACTAAAAACTTAAGTTCCTAACAAGCCTCCAACTACTGGTCCATCTGGCGCGAGTACAGCAGTGTCTTCTCCGATCAGCACTTTCACTCCTACTTTAATGACGTCTTTACTACCTTTCTGTGGTGGTAGTTGCGTAGGCTGTCAATGGAGGTACAGAAAGCTTGATTTCATTGAAAAGATCTTCATTTGTGTTCCAAAGATGAACGGACAGTGTTGGGGAGCAGTTAACTAGCGACGCTACTAACTTCAACAACTACGTTTTTCAGTAGCTTGACAGTAGAACAGTCGCTTTTAAAATCAGTGTAGCATTTCCAGTTGCTATAACTACTATTTTCCAGCAAGTAACATGCATGCTAGACTAGTAGTTGGCGATGTCACTTTGTAAAGAAAGACGCGCTTGCACACACGCATTCTTTTACTACAGCGCACTCGAACCCAACGCATATGACTGTGTAGACACAAATTACATAGGCCTAATTTGTATTCTGGCTAAATTTCATCTTCACAAAGCCAGAAACATTCACTGTAATCCCGATTTTAGAATGTTCTCTCATATAAAGTCCATTTTGTACTTCCTTGAAGAAAATGTCAAAGTTGGTCAAAATTTTTTCTTGCAATATATTTTGTCTTCATGAAAAATGAAAGGTTCCTTAATTTTTCATGATGACAAAATATATTGTGTTGATTTGTGAAATTATAACCATTTGTGATGTCTATATGCCCCCCCCCCCTCCTCCCCTCCTCCTCCTCCCTCCCTCCCTTCCTTCCTTCCTTCCTTTCTTCCTTTATTTCTTACTGTTAATATCTGTATCCTTTCATTTGAAAAAAAAGCCTATTGACTAAACACATAATAGCCGATGAACGTGCGTGATGTCACTGTTTTTACAGATTCACGTTTTTATAAATTACATGGAAATAAGGCTGTCGGTTTCAAAAACTTTGACTTTGTACCCAGTTTTTTAAAAAAGTTTGCGTTTTCAGGCCATTGTTGTGTAAATGAACAGCCAAAACGCATAAAAAGTCGGTTTTGTGTAAACAGCCCCTATATCTTAAAGTCCCACTCCGATCATATTTTGAGCTATTTTTAAACATTCCCAGTGGTCTTTAAATTATGATTATGCCATTTTTAGCCAAAATCACAAAACCTGTGCCGTTTTCTGGGACTTCGCTTCAGCAGAGCGGCAGTAGCTCATTAGCAATTCACCTCTGCGTTGTGGGCGGAGCCGTTGGCACGGAGACGACCCTCCCCCTGCCCGTTGCTGAGAGCTCTGTCTCTCCCGCTAGCTTACACCCCCAATACCGGTGGGGCAACAGTATTATATACACGTTAATTATTATTATCCGAAGTTAATCAAAGTTATCACCGATCACCGATCATTATTATCCCTCCAAGACGTCGCGTGTGGAGACGCCCAGTGGAGTTACTACGTCACAACTCCAGTCTATTTTAGCCGGCATTTTAGCGTCTGCTACTGATTCACAGCCATTTGAATGTAGAAATACTCAGAAATACAACTTTGAGCTTATTTTTCTCAAGATATGTCCTCTAACATCAGAAAAATGCCACAAGAACATGTTAACACCTAGAAAAACATTATTTTCATCGGAGTGGGTCTTTAACTACTTTAACTTACGAGTAGCTTGTAGCCTGTGAAGCTACTGTTTCAGAGTAGCCTCCCAAACACTGCGAATTAAAGTCTTACAGGTTTGGAATGATATGATGGTGAGTAATTAATGACAGAATTATCATTTTGGGGTGAACTAACCCTTTAAGGTGTGATCACTAACTGTCAATAGTGCAGTAATTTATGAAGTACAGCTCACACAGAAGTCACTTTCAAACCAAGCTGCTTTCTGTTGGTCAACGCAGAGAAATCTGAGTCCACACACAACATTTCTGATTGCATGGATTCCTATAGAAATGACTGGATTTCGCACATAAATATTTGCAGAACAATGGTAAATGCTGCTTTAAAAAATGAAATGATCAACAAGTCACGGCAACATATGTTTTAACATTACTTTAACTTATCAAAAAAATGTACGCAATTTCAACGTTCTTTTATAAGTTCAAATCAATTTAACTTCAGAAGCAATTTTTTATAATATAATTTGAAATGACTTGTATGGCCAATTTGATTCTACGTAACTTGAGTTCAGTTGCTGCCTTACATTTTTAAGTTGAAATACTTGTGTGTGTGACTTTGACCACAACTTTACACACTTCACATAAAGGGCACTTAAATGGGCAAAAAAATCCCATAGACTTACATTGTAGGTGTGTTGCTATGTAGTTGCTGTCTGGTCCAAATCAAAGGAGCCCTACCGTCTGCAATCACACAGAACACCTTAGCAAACACATAGCAACACATTGCCACAACATGCTACTATAGCATCATGGCAGCCGATTTACCCTGACAAGCACCACCAAGTTTTAAAATCAAGTTATATTCGCAATACCACTATCGACGCAGAAATGATTTGCTTTAACTACACACCTACACTAATACTAACCATTTGAAAATGAATTTTATGTTGTTGCAGAGGTCAGAAGGCCAATGAGTGCAGTGGTCCATCTGAGATTATAAGGGTGTATCCATATCCATGTTATTAAATAATTTATAATGAGGGTCTTGAACCCTGACAGTCTTGAGTTATATTTCCATTCACCAGTTGTCTGTGGTGGCTCGTGTTTAGAGCAAGCTCATTGTGATATGTCACGCATTATGAGCGTCTTCAGCACAAGGAAATCCTAATCAGAGCGCTGAGAGGAGGCGGATCCTTCTGTGAGGGAGGAAAGGGAACTGAGGAGGGGGGCAATTTTTCTTTGTGGGAACATCATTAGAGTAAACGATCCCTGATACATGGGGTGAATGAGAATAGAGCTGCCTGTGAGGCACCATATCGCTTTAATGTGGAGAGTTCAAGCCATGTCTGATCATATCTGTGTGTATTTGACTGCCAAATAGATCCTTTTATCAACGATGGCCGCATGCTGTTCTCACACCCTAACACTCTAAATCTCTTGAAGTCAGATATTTTATGGTGTTCAGTGTAGAAAATTATGGATTACACATGCATAATGGCCAAACTAGACTAACATTTCTCCACCATGTCTAGTATGTGTTACAACATAAGATACACATACCAGTTGTTCCCTATCAGTCAGTCACGTCAGAACTGAACTGACGAATTGGGATCTCGTCTGAGAGCCCAATCACCTTAGAGTGGTAACAGAACAAGCCAATGGCGAGTGAGATTTGCATCGCAAGCTGCTCCCCTGCTTCCA